CCCTAGACCAGAGGTCCATCCCCATAGACCAGAGGTCATGTCTTATCTATTCTACTCCCCCATTTACTATCAGAGATTCTGGTAGCTCGATTCTCAATAATTCATTCTCATACATTCTCTGTCTCATTTGGTCGGCCATTTTCATAGTCATATTCCACTACCAGATGCTCTTGATAGTAAATTGACTCACAAAAATATTTTTTAAATTATGTTTTGCACATCATTATTACTACCAATCGTCCTTGATAGCAACTTAAGAGAAATTTACAAATACTTTTTTGTAAATAATTTTCTGTGAGTTCTAGAAAACATTTCATTACTATGTTTATGCCTTATATGAAATGAAATAGTCTATCATCAATTAAGTACTTAGAAACATCTCATTCATATATTCAAAATTTCAATTGAAATTCATAGTTGCTTCAAACAAAACAATTTCTATTAATACTCTATTTCGTAGGATTCAGTGTTTTGTCCATATCTCAAGTTCTAGATCTCCTTTTAAGATGATTCCAATTGTGTTGGAAAGACAAGACAATAACTTATAACTTTGATGAAGGCACTATCCTCAAATTCGAATGTTTATTAAGTCGTTTTCCTGATAAACAAAGAGGGAGTGATATACTGTTTGGCTCTATCTCGATTATACCCTTAACCTTTTTCAAAATTTCATTTATGTCCCTAGGTTGTAAAATGATAATTTTACCCTTGAACATTTCCTATAATTTCATCCATGTCCCTAAAATGACTATTTTACCCTTGGACATTTTCTATAATTTCATCCATATCCCTAAAATGACTATTTTACCCTTGGACATTTTCTATAATACCATCCATATCCCTAAAATGACTATTTTACCCTTAGACATTTTCTATAATTCCATTCATGTCCCTAAAATGACTATTTTACCCTTGGATATTTTCTATAATTCCATTTATGTCCCTAAAATGACTATTTTACCCTTGGACATTTTCTATAATTCCATTCATGTCCTGGAGCCATGATGAAATGACCATTATACCCTTAATCTTTTTCAAAATTTCATTTATATCCCTAAGATGTGTAATGACTATTTTACTCTTGATCTTTTTCAAAAATTCCCACCTAGTCCCTTTCTTCTTCCTTCGCTCCTTGTAAGCCATTTTCAAAATCCAGATTTCCAATTTCTCAGTTTAAAACACCCAAATTAATTCTAAATCAAAATTAAACATGCAATATGTCCAAATTAAGTCAAAAACAATAATTTTACTATATAATTCATCCTTAATTTCAAGAATTTCATCAACATTTAAAACTTTGCAAAATATGAATAGTAATCACCTCCCGATACGGCATTTTCAAAATCCAGATTTCAAATTTCTCAGTTTCAATCATCTAAATTAGTTCCAAATCAAAATTAAACCATAAACATGTTCAATTTAAGTTAAAAACAACAATTTTATTATGTTAGATATTGTTTAGATATTATTTGATATTGTTAAGATATTGTTAGATATTGGTAACCACAATATCAAACAATATCTTCTGTTTATTCTGTTACTTTCAGTTACTCTTTTAGTCGTATCTCTCTACTATAAATAGATCACCCTATGTGTGATTTATACACAAGGGAGATTAATTTCAAACCATATTTCCTCTATATTCAACATGGTATCAGAGCCAAAGGCTAACATCTTTCCGATTATTGAAATGGGCCAAAAAGTTGCCCTTTAGTTGGGTCAAAAGTACCTTTTGCCTGGTCCTGCAGGCTTCGTTGGAGGGGGTGTGTTGAAAGTCCCACATCGCCTACCTCATGTCATTTGGTATGATTTAAATACATGTTAGGCTACTCCACATATTGTCAATTGGTTTTATGTTTTCATCCTTGATTTGTTTAAAGGAGGTGTTCATCCCTAATGGGATTCTAGGGAGATGTTCATCCTTAATGGAATTCTAATGAAGTGATTATCTTTTGAATTAGTTTGCAAATATTAAATATCTGGTTTTGTTATATAAATAAAATATTCAATTTTTGGTAGTTTAATATTTTTGTGAGTAAATTGAGTCAAGAAGTCACCAAAGTAACCTCTCTTGAATTGGGCAGTTCATGAAAAATATTGAATGCTAGTGTTTGTGTATATTCATGTGAGTATTAGTCGGCCCAAAGGAAGATTAATATTTGGCCGAATTGCATATACACTTGTAATGATAAACATGTGATAATTATAAGGATTTGCTTTGTCGATGATAAATCAATCCAAAGACTGGTTTATTGTTGAACGTGCTTTTATTGTCAATGTTTAATTATTACAACAAGATACCTCTAGTAGTTAATATTACTTGTCCAAAGACTTGATATTGATGGTGCATTGGGTGTCTTGAGATGGGTTAAACCATTATTTGAATATATATTATTTATTTTTTATATAATGTGAACATAATTAGTTTATTATGTTGTTATTTTAAGAATACTTTTTCACTAAAAATAAGAAAAGAGTAATGTGTTTTTGAAAACAATCTTTTATATATATATATATATATATATATATATATATATATATATAAAATACTAGTTTAATAGTTATATATTTGTTATTTTTAAATAACCCTATTATTTTCAATTAAAATAAAAAATATTATTACTTTATTATATATGATTGTTTACCATTAAATAAATGTAATATTAAAAATAAAATATTTGCTCAAATTTTTATATATGGGTAAATTATTATGTTTTGATTTCATTAATATGTGAAATATTGGAATTATATTTGTGAACAATTGTTGATTAATTTTTATATAGTTTGACATTATGCAGGTTTGTCATAAGGTTTTAACATGATCTGACATGACGATCTTTGAAGATCAGACAATTTTACACGATGATCCTCTAAGATTGGACAACTTTATACAATGATCTTTTGAGATCAAACAACTCTACATGATGATCATTTAAGGTTATACCACAAAATCGACACAATGATCCTTTGAGATCGAGATGATGACCTTGTAAGGTCGGACAACACACGATGACCCTGTGAGGTCAGATGACACAATGACTCTGTGAGGTTGGACGATATAATGTCCCTGTGATTAGTAGTATAATAGTCGGGTCGAACGACTCGACATAATACCATTGTCAATGATCTACCTAGGCCTCAGCATCTACGACTTGAGGGCAGAGGGCTATGTGGTGTCCAAATGAAGGGTCTCACCCTGTAATTAAACGATGACATAATAACATAATCATTTGACTTATTTTGAGCCTTAACATCTATGACTTGAGTCTGGAGATTATGTGGTGTTCAAATAAATTACCTTGTTTTATGATCGATTCAAAGTTCGATCATGACGTGATATTCTCTCTTAAAGGTGTGATTATGAAAATCTTATCCAACATTATGATTTATCACCATAAATCCCACGTAACAAGAATAAAAAATCAAATTATTGAATAGATATAATAATAGAATCCAAGAACTTGAATTAAGGATTGGAGATCCAAATAGAAAAACCTATTAAAAAAAGTAAAAATTTACAACTTAATAAATTAAAAGAAACTTTACAAATATTAAAATATTATTTAATAGACAAAAATAGAGAATTTATAAATTTGTCCATATCAATAAAGAACATTTTTTAAAATCTTTATACAAATTTAAAATTTTTAGTTTAAGGTTATCATACGAGAACTTTGGTTGACGAGGAATATATAAATGCTATTTAATGATGATGTTTCACAATGAGAATATGTTGCATATCTTGAAAAGCAAAATTGAGCAAACTAAGATCTAATCAAACAAAATCAGATAAAGTAAAGGTTGATGAAGTAGCATAAATCAAATGATGTCACAAAGATTATCAATTTATAATTCAACTAATCAAATCATAGGTGATCAAACTCTTTTTATGAAAATCACATTTTCCTTCAAAAATCATGGAGGTACATACACACTGCTCTCACAAATAAAACTAATGTGGAACAAATTAAAATAGATTGGATTTTAATAATACAATAAGAACTATTTCAATATATGAGGAAATTTAAAGCAAAGTATAATTAAAATCATAGAAATGTTTTGTAGTAAATTTATGAAAAAGACAGTGGTTTTTAATAACACATATTAAGAGAAAAAAGTTTTTTTTTTTTTTTTTTTTTTTTTTTTTTTTTTTAAAACTTTTGCTCTTATAGCTAGCTATATAGGATATTGTTTTAGTTCATTTTTTGCACTCACACATACATTGATTTTTTTTTTTAAATTGCACTTTTAAAGTACCCCATGCATACATTTTATTTTAGACATTATTACATTCGTACACTCGTATAAACCATATTTATTTCACGTGATTCTAGACTTTAAAAATTAAAAAAAATTAACAGAATAGTTTCGAATTTTAGTTATCCATATTTAAAATTTTGTTTAAATAAAAATTGAAAAAAGCCTTGTATTCAAATATATAATACAATATTCAAAATGGTTATTAAAATTTTACTTTTTTGTCCAATACTAAATATTAATTATTAATTTTCATCGTCTTATTTTTTAATTAATAATTAATTATCAAAATTTTATTATCTTTTATGTTTACTAATTTATTTATTTGTGTATATATATATATATATATATATATATATATATATATATATATATATATATATATATATATATATATATAAGATTAAACTACATATGTAATGTTTAAAATACAAAATCACCCTTCGTTATTTTGTTTTTAATTTTGAATTTAATAATACATTGAATATCGCAGCTAATAGTCGACAGTGGATTTCCCTGTGACTCAGATCAGATCCCGTGTGGGAACCTTCAACACACTGCTCTGATCATCGCCGGTGATATCCTTCTTCCTCCTTTCTCCAAGTTCTCTTTCACAAACCCAATTTTTCCTTTCAATTATCTTTCCCTCCTTGGAGAAAAAAAAAAAAAACTCCTTGCTTTTTCTCTTACCCAAATCGCTTTCACAGGCATAACACCAAACACCTTGGACCCAAAAAACCGCAATGCTACCTGGGAGGTTCTCGTTTTTCGGAGGCGGAGATTCCCGCGTGGTGGACAACGCCAATTCGCCACCGAAGGGTGAGGAACCTCCGGCCGTTGTCCCCCCCACACTGAAGCTCGAAACCGATAGGCAGGTTTACAGGCCCGGTGATCCTGTCGTTGTGACCATTCAGATCTCTAATCCCGCAAATGGGTACTCGTTTCTGATGGAAAGACTCGGGTTTGAGATCAGGGGCATCGAGAAATTGGACACTCAATGGTTCGCCACGCAGAAGCCTTTGCATGGCTCCAAACAGAGGAGAGGTTCGTTGGTTCAATAACAAAAGTCGAATTGGAGTTTTAGTTGTTTTAGTTGCTGTTTGCTTTAATATGTTAACACCCAGATGAAAATTTATAGTTTCTATTGTATAGTTTTTATGAGGGTAAAATAAGTTTTGTTCTACCAAATATCTTGAAATTCATGTTTACTCCCGAATCCCTATACAAAATTTATACTTTTATCAGTTCTTACCAGAAGTGACGTGGTTTTCTTTTAAGATAAATGCTAGCAACACATAACACACTCTTTTGATCATAATCTTTGTTATGGACTAAATTTTATTAAAAAAAACAAAACTACATTACTTTTGTGGGTCTCTTCACTAATTATTTAATGAGTTGCCCTCTTGGTTTTAGTTTTCAATAAACTTTCACTGATAGTGGAGTATATTGCTAGCACTTGTAGAGGAGGCCAAAAAATGTAGAGACTAAAACACATAAATTTTTATGGGAAATAAACTCGAATTTTGAGATATTTCGGGAGACCAATAACATTTTTAACCTATTATTAATATTAGTAGTAGTAGTAGTAGTATCAAGGTTATCAATGGTAGATGGCGGGAATTCTGCAATATAAGACACTATTGCTATGGCTCCGCCATAGGGGGCCTTCCTTCAGAAGTTGCCCATGGTGGAGGTATTGGAAAATGCCATGTTGTGTTGCAATGCTATGACGCTATATCTTTATATAATAATATTGATATTATTATTATTATTATTATTATTATTATTATTATTATTTCAGGTGAGCATGTTTTTCTGGAGTTCTCAACACCAGTCCTAGTTGCAAACCACATTGTTAGTGCTGGCATCACCAAATCATGTATGCTAAGTTCTACATTAAAGGATTCTGATTTTTTTTGTTGACTCTCTTCCTGTTAGTTAGTTCTTATATGTTTTCTTCATAGTCTGGTTATGCGTGTGGCATTTTGTGTTATATGCCATTCTGTTTTATCTTTTAATAGTTAGTTCCGCAATAAAAGTGGAAATTAGATAAGATTTATTTTCTGTTTTATCTTTTAATAGTTAGTTCCGCAATAAAAGTGGAAATTAGATAAGATTTATTTTCTGTTTTATCTTTTAATAGTTAGTTCCAAAATAAAAGGTAGGGACCAGAGGCTATAAATAAGCCATTCTTTGTAAAGTCAATCATCATTCAGAAATTGAAAAAGAAGTTTGTTTCTCTTTCATCTTTGTGCATCAGAGAGAAGAGAGAGGTAGGGAAAGGTAAGAATCTTTCTTTACAATTGGTATCAGTTGAAAGGCAACGACCATGGTGACCAACAAGGAACTCGAAACGCGTGTGGCATCCTTGGAGAAATCTCTTGCAGATCCACAAGAACAAACGAATACGACATTGTTAGCGATGCAGAAAACTATGCAGACTTTAGCAGCTTCCGTGGCGGCGTTAACAACAGGAACCAACATTCCACCTCCGAACGACGATGAAAGCGAATCTACTACGTCGGTATTACATCGTGCACAACTCCAATTCCCCAATTTTGATGGCACAAACTTTAGGGTTTGGCAAGCCAAGGCAGAGCAATTTTTTGAATTAGAAGGAACATCAGTAAACCAAAGAGGGAAACTGCTCCTGTTATCCATGGAAGGCAACGCCTTCGCATGGCAACGACATTACATCAAAAATCCCAGCTTTAGGTCGAAATCTTGGACCGATATCTTGCTTGATGTAGGAAACAAATTTGATGATGGAGCCTACGATGACCCTATTGCTGAAATCTCACGCTTACGGCAACAAGAATCTTTGCCTGAATATCTTGAAAAATTTGATTCTTTGTTAGCGCGTGTGATGATCTCCGAAGGCATGGCTCTCAGTTTCTTCCTCGCAGGTTTGGAAAGTCCTTTAGAGAAATCAGTTCGTCTTCATAACCCTAAATCCATCCAAGAAGCAATACGTCTAACACGATTACAGGATGATATTAATAAAGAATTAGACAAGAAGATCTCTACAGAGAAAGCCAAACGTAGATTGATTTTGGTTCAGTGGTTAACTAGCCTTCTTCCTTTATTGAAATTTCCACCAAATGTCACGGACGATGAATTAAGAGCATGTTTGAGCAATGGTACAATTTTGTGCCAGATACTGAACAAGCTACGACTTGGTATTGTGAATGTGATTAGTGAACCTGATAATTCTCTGCCATCACAATCAGAAAATGTTAAATCGTTTCTGAAAGCTTTGGACGCAGTAGGATTGCCCCGGTTTGAAATATCAGACCTAGAAAAGGGGTCTATGAAGGCTGTTGTGGATTGTCTTTTAACACTCAGAGAAAAAAGTTTGCAGCTAGATACTTTGGGCCATATAAAGTGTTAGAGGAAATAGGAAAAGTGGCTTACAAACTTAAGTTACCTGCTGGAACCAAAATACATGACGTGTTCCACGTTGACAGACCTTGAGGACAAGATCTGCTTTCATGGGGGGGAAAACTGTTATATGCCATTCTGTTTTATCTTTTAATAGTTAGTTCCGCAATAAAAGTGGAAATTAGATAAGATTTATTTTCTGTTTTATCTTTTAATAGTTAGTTCCAAAATAAAAGGTAGGGACCAGAGGCTATAAATAAGTCATTCTTTGTAAAGTCAATCATCATTCAGAAATTGAAAAAGAAGTTTGTTTCTCTTTCATCTTTGTGCATCAGAGAGAAGAGAGAGGTAGGGAAAGGTAAGAATCTTTCTTTACATTTTGATTCTCAAATTCTTATCATTTTTATTTTTTATTTTAGTGAGCATACTAAAATGGACATTCCCCATTGGGGTATTTTAGAGATTGTAAAACTTTTCAGTATACATTTTCTTGGGGCATGTAATTATAAAACACCGAGAGTATTCTGCTTCACTTTTTGTTACTGATAGCCTCTAGTAGGCTGCTTTCTCCTTTAGTTTATTATAATAATTAGACCAAAAATTTGTGATCACTTTAGTTTTACTGGATTAAAATATCAAATAATAGCTGATGTTATTTTCCCACCAAACTTCCATGCCTTAAAATTATGTTGATTGCAGCTAGTTCAGATTCCAGAGGTTTTCTTTAAGTTATTTGTTTGCTGGTGTTATGACCTTTGATTTTGGGTGCTGATGCAGTTATAGGTTAACTGTTTGTACTTGCTTTGATTCACAATTATGGACTAGAATTTTTGAATTTGACCAAAATGAAGTATATTTGTTGAAGTACGGGCTTGGGATATGTGAACTGAAATACGAGAATATGATTTTGTGGCCTGATAAAATAACACAGACAATTGGTGGACTCTTTGGTCATGGGCTATTTTGGGACAGATTTTGTTAATGAAATTATCCCAATTATTTGGGGGAGGTCTTGCTCATATTATTAGGATCTCCTAATAATTGATATGAATAGAGCAAATGAGAACAAAGGAGAACCAAAATCCTTTAATGGAACCATCAAAGAAAAAATTATGTAAAGATGTTAGCCATTGATGCAACATGGAAAGTTATGACAAGATGAGTTAAAAGTGGACAAATGGGCAATTTGATCCAGAACTATTTGTTATAGTGTTAAATAATCAACCCTCTATTCTTGGGAATTTTTTAACATGTTAATTATTCTCTAAAAGAAAACTAAAATGTTCAGTATACATGCTTGGTGGTGAGGACATGCTTTAGTACTGATTCCTTATATATTTTGATTTAAGAAGGTTGCTAATGTGGAGTGTTAATTGCAGATGTGGTGCGAACGCAGCTGCCTAGCATTATTCCGCCATCTTACAAGGGTTCAAATATTCGCTATTTGTACTATGTTAAAAGTGCAGTAACTGGAGGGTGGATAATATTTGAAAATGGGCAATCTCGTGCAGATTCCAAAAATGATGTTACTGATTTGGTTGGTTTTCCTATGACTTGCTCTGCTTTATACTGAAAAACGTTTGCATCATGTTTTTTCTTGCTCAGTTTTTTGGAGATGTAAAACCAAAGACAGTCATGAGCCTTTATCTAGCAATTAAGCTTCTGGGAGAGTTAGTTCATGTTCATCACACATTATTAGAGCCCATTTGTTTAAACTTTACTTCCTTTCTTTTAGAAGTGCTTTTTGAATTAAAAAAAAAAAATGTTTAAAGGACTTATAATAATTATGTAAACTATTTGAGAAAAAGCTCTCAACAAAAGCTGTTTTAGTACTTTTCTCAAAAGCTAAAAGAAGTAGTTTTTTAAAAAAGTCCTAAAAATAGTTATATCACGTAATAAATTCCTCCCTCCCTTCTATTTTTTAAATTAGGTAAGTGATCTAGAGTTCCATTGATTTTGTCCCTGTTCTAACAAAATGTTGAATTTTAGCATGATGTATGGCAAGCTATAATGATAATATTTTAGGACTTAAACACAAGAGGAGAACCCAACTCAAAAAGTCTAGTCTATTATATTAGGTGGGAGAGCCTCAAGGTTTAAGTCACATCAAGTAGTTCGTCCTTCTGAATGTGGGACTCCTAACATAATTTTTTGTTTTTGTTAGTCTTGTTCTAAAATTGTGCAATGCCTTTTTATTTTATTTTATTTAAATACTCTTTTATGTTATATTGGGAGCTAACAATTGAAGAAAGGGTAGCTAAAGCTTCAAGTTTGACATGCATGTGTTCCAATCATTTTAAGGAATTCCTAGGCATTAATATGCCATGCATACAAGCTGAAAGAAACAATTGTCTGGAGAATGTGAACGTGCTAATTGTAAGAGGTATAACAGAGCAGGAAAAATTGTTTTAGCTGATGAATCGGTGGTTTAATAGCTCTTTCATAGAGTTATGGGGTCTTACTTTTGCATTATGGTATTGCTAGGGCTATCCTTACTTGTTTTACCTATTTTTTTCCTTTTTAATTTGTGTAGTTATTTTCTGGGATGAGGAGTGCTGACACTGTTTTTTTACTTTCTACATCATCTTCCTTTTTTATGATGATTGTGTATGGCTCTCACTATGGATTAGTAATCATGACCATGCCTTTAATTTTAGATAATTTTTTAGTTTTGAACTCTTATAAATCCCTCTTTCTTTCATTCTGCTTTAATGTTCGTGGGTACTTCCATTTTTGGAGATTTTTATTCCAACCTTTTCATATATATTGGTTTACGTGTTTTAGATTTTTTAAGTTTGTTAACTTTGATTTATGCAGGAAGTTCGCATTCCGTTACAAATATGGATAAACCAAAAAAGTAGTGGATTTCCGATGGATGATGGTTGGTTTGGTTGTTAATTTTCTGTCTCTTTTCTGTCTGTTGTAATAGTTTCTGACTTATTCTATAGAGGCCTAAATAGATTTTCTGTTTATATACATACTAATTAATTTTATAAAGGAGTATGTGAAGATATTCTTTTGTACAAAATACAATTCCTATCTGTTTAACAAATTACTCTTTTATTTTATTTTATTTTTTTTTAATGCTGATGTGGAACAAATATAGTTTATGCCATAGATGTATATGTGGCAGACTTGGCTGCTCTTTTTAGCCTTAGATTCTGTAATTGTTGCCAAGTATTATGTCTTGTTTACATGATGACCTAATAAGGTAGCTATCACGTGTGACCATTGAAATATAAAAATATTTTGTATCAAGTTGTTAGCATTTTTCAAATTCAACCCTACAATTTGTCACATAAAATGGCTGACAAGTCTGGTAAGCAAACTTTGGTAGAACTAGATATCATTGGTGGAATTTACTTGTCATAAAAATTGATTTCATATATCACTATTAAGGTTACTGTTCTTTTGCAACTATCATTTTTATTTCAAGTAGCTTCAACAATTTTGAGTCATCTTAATTTTCGTGGAACTTCACAAGTAATATATCCATGTGTTTGTGTGTTTTCAGATATTGTTCCCTTAACTACTACACAACTGGATATATTTTGGAAAGAGATGGATGGTGATGCTGATTGGGTATGCTATTGGTGATATTTTTTAATTGGGTAAACTAAACTTATCTGTGTTTTACCCTAAATTTGTTTGCCATCTATTATTTTAAGAATGCCTTTATTTGTTTTTAATTATAAATGTTTTGTGTGATCAAACTATGAAATTGCTTGAATATTTTCGTGTTAAATAGATGTAGAATTGTAGATGGGATTTTGGTTAAAATTATAGAATGATGGTTTAGTCTAGAGCAATATGAGATCTGCTAATTTTGATGAGCTTAGACGATCTAAACTCTTAAATATAAAGAAAAAGAGAAGCATTGAGCTGAAACCATGTGTTTTCTGGGTGATTTATTTATATTGAGAAAAAGAAATCAATACAACAAAAAGAGGAGATTTGATATCCTCTAATAATAAAGATATGATCCTAGAATAATACATATATGATCTTGATATCTCTGATTATACAGATATGATCCTGATATTCGTACTTATAAAGATATGATCCTTATTTCATTAATTATGACACCCCCCCTTAAGCTCGAGTATATAAGTCATGTGTTTAGCTTGCTGCAAATGTGATTTATCCATGGTCTAAGGGATTTGGTGAATATGTCTGCCAACCACTGTTTAGTGGAGTTGACAAATCTAGTAGTGATACCTCCAAACTCCAACTTTTCTCTTAGATTTGACATACTATGCTCATTGCAAGTTTGATATGGACACGACCCTCTTTACGTGTCTCTTTGTTAATTTTTAGAGGAATGAGTAAGAGTGCAGAAGAGGCAGAAGTCATAGTAGGGATTACTGCATACACTTGAGGCAAGTCGTAAAAGGATAATGTCATAAAAAATGTACTGTAGTTCTCAGGTTCTTTCTTTACATCTGCAGATGAGGGCAGGAGCACAATGAAAATCATGTAATGCAACATGAATCTGTTCCATATATGTGAACATAGGCCCATCAAATTGTCGGATAGAAAGTAGTGTCAAGTGGTCCTGGAAAACACTAGATATTTGCTGAGTGCCATTTGTATAGAGGGCATGCATCTTTCTCCAAACTGATGTACACATCTCACTGTCGGGTAATCCAAGTGTGAGTTAAGTTAAAGAACCAACACTCACGAGGATGAAGATTAGGTTTGAGTGAGGTGTGAATAATGGACTTGAGAACACTGCACAATTGAGCATCAATCTTTATTCATTGTTTGTATTTATCCACTACTTGAGAACCACCAAATCAACTCTAAGCTGCCACTACACGGGTAGGGTTGCATAAAGGAGGTGACCTGGGCGAGAACTGATCGACTCTCAGGTGCCACCACACAGGCCATAAAGGTAGATGAGTTGGTGTGGAGAAAAAGTTGCATGTTTGGGTATGTCAGCATGTTTTTTGTACGGCTGGACAGATTGGTACATTGGGAGACTAATCATGTGATTACTAGAGAAAAAGGAGGATGTTGGAAAAGTTGTTAGAGAAGTCAAAAGTTAGCATGTCTTGTATGGTTGGGTCGATCGATCACAACATTGTGGCCGTAGGAGAAAAGGGAGGTCGTTGGGGAGAATGGGTCAACTAGTCAAACAAATTTTAAGAGGCTCTAGATACCATGTTAAACTATAGAGAAAAAAAAAGCATTGAATTGAAATCATTTGTTTCTATGATGGGTCATTTATTTTCATTGAGGAAAATAAATCAATAGAATAAATAGAGGAGATTTGATATCATCTATTAATAGAAATATGATCCAAGAATAATACAAATGTAATCTTGATATTTCTGTTTATATTGATATGATAAATATATATGATCTTGATATCTGTAATTATAAAAATACGATTCTTATTTGTTTAATTATAACATAAGCAATGATTTTGAAATTACTATTGTATAAATATATTGAACAATATATGGTTTTGTTGAAAGTTTTTATTAGTATATGTTGAAGAGAGAATTTTGAGCGAAAATTGGTTATGGGACACACTTGATTTCTAACTCATAGCTAGATTACAATCTTATGAAACACACCAACCACAATGACATGGATATGGAGATTGAGGAGATGTGGGTACTATGGGATGCCTAAGTCTCACATCTAGTAGTATGAGATGACCAAGAGAGTATTTAAATGTTTGGTTCTCCTTTCTCGAGTCCTTAACCACTAGCTTAGTGTCGGTTTCTCAAATGCTTGGTGCTATCAATTGGTATAAGAGACACTTGTTGGTGCCTTGAGAAAGGCCCACAAAGGGTTTTGATCGATGGAGGGTGGTTCTATTCAATGGGAAAATCGACTGAAGTGTCATCGAGTGAAGAGTCGTAGAGTGTGACCCAAATGTCGACTCTTATTGGTGGTGCTACAATAGTGACTTGGTTATTATGGGCATGGTTATCAAACTCTAGGGTTATCTCATACTTGGATGAGTTTACGAGCCTACTCCTTGACCAAGAGTTGAATTGTGTGCAAACACTTTTTTTAGGTAAACTTATAGTAGACTTGGACTCGACTCGCAAGTTTGACTATGAGTCAAAGAGTTTGGGTGAAATGTGTTTTTAGCACATTATGAGACGTAGCCATGGTAGTCAAAATTGCATCTAAGTTCGTGGAATCGCACCATTCCACAATTTTATAGATCATGTCCGATTCAGTGCCAATGCAAGATTGCATTAGAGTAGGATCAGTGGGATCGACGAAGAAAATCGTGAAATTGACGTGTGTTATTGAAAAATGGCTATGGCAAAAATTGGAAGTGGGATTTTGGCCGGTCACCATGTTAAGGCAGTGGCAAAGCGGGTTTTGCATGATAGCCCATAGCTGTCACTTTGGCTGTCACAGAATGGTGTCACGAGTAGTCATGGCAAAAATTTCGCTCCTGAAGCTACGCAACTTGCGTTGAGAGGTGTAAGAAGTGTTGGGTTTGTGCAACCCAACTTGACCTTGGACTAACCTAGGGTTTCTATGTTTAGTTTGATGTTTTTTTTTGTGGGTTTCCTTTTGGGTTTATAAGAGACTTTGCCCTCTAGTAGGAAGAAAAAAAGGAAAAAAGTTAGGTTTGAAGCCCAACTCAACCCAACACACATCTCTCGCACTTCTCCCTCACCACATACTTGAGTCATTGTTGTCATTGTTGCTGCCATTGCTGTCGTCACCCTGTTGTCATAGCTACTCCACATTTAATTTATGGCCTTTTTCTTTCTTTTCTTTTTATGTTCAACTTCATTTTCTTTACCATTCTTCATTCATTCATTTACAACAAGTAGAATCAACCATTTTTTTTCCTGCCTTCCTTTTCATTTTTTTTTTCTTTTCATTCTTAGTTCATTAGGTTCAGGGGAAAGGAATAGGAATGGGTTTATTAATGATATAATTTTTTAAATGAAAAACTATTATTGTAAAATTATATCATTAATTAATTAAAATCATTACTAATATAACTTTTGATAATATCTTAAGGCTCATTGGATTATAATTTGTTGTTAAATAATAATATAACATTAATGTATGCTAATTTAATTTATTAAATTTAATTATATTCATCATATTTTATTTTCAAGGTTATTTTTTGAAAGATTTCAATCCGTGTTATGATTTCACGATTTTCAACTTTGTGAAGTCCTCCTAATCCCACTTGAAATCTCGATTTCTACAACCGTGCACATGTAGTTACGCCATTTGTCACATTTAGGTTTGAAACAAGAATGTAGAGAACGAAAGGTTTGCTCTTGTTTATATTTGCACCTGGTCATTGTTCGCTGCTCTGCCATCACATCTCCTTTGCAGCTCGCCACTGTTACCAGCTTGTTTCCTTTCACAACTTGCATTTTTGTTTCTGTTTTGTTCAAAACTCCGATGAAGAGTTTGTTCTATTCAATCTCTCCTATGTTGGTTCAGTTCTGTTGTTTTTATTTTGTTCTGTTCCAGTGTCTTCAATCTTCTATATATATATATTTTAATGTTGATTATGTTCTAGCCTCCTTGTGTTGGTTGGTTGGTTCTGTTTGATCTTAATTTTTATTTTCTGTTTCATGTCGGTTCTGTTCAGATACATAGGCTATAATTTTAAAATGTTTGGAAGTGGTTCAAATTTTTTTGATGCTAATCTAGTTACATTTGGATGATATTGGGTGGAAACATGAAGTAGAAATTGAAGTTACAGAGTTATGATGTATAAATTGAAGTTAAAAAGTAAAAAAATTAAAAAAACTATTTCTCTCCGATTTGATGATATTGAGTCTGATGATGATGAATGGATAATTAAAAATGGAAATAATTCTGAGGTTGAGCAAGCTTAAGTTGAAGACGATGGTGAAAATGTTGACTTAATTGGAGCAAGTTTATAAGATCCAATTCTAGATGCATTTGATCTTGATAATATAGTTTTTTATGTCAATGTTGATGTAGACTTTTCATCTGTGGAAGAACTTGATAGCAATGAAGATGGTGATAAAGATCTTGGAGATAATTTCATTAGAGGATTGAATGGAGTAGACATATAAACTAGAAGACATCTGTGCTTTTTAGTTATTTAATTGTTATCTTGTCAATATAAGAACTTATATTTTGTAGGTGTATTGTATGAATTTATTTATTTTAGTATTGTGGAATTGGTATCATGTTGCCCACATTTTTTGTTGAATTGGTATATTATTTTTCACATAAAATAGACTCTTAAGAGTGAGCAACTTGAGTCTCCCACGAGTCTATATGGACTTTCTTGTCTAATAAAACCTTGATTATGGGGTGCTTAAGTCCCATCAAGTGGTGTGGGATGCTTAGTGGAGTATGTAAGTGTTTAGTTCTCCTCCCTTAACAACTAGCTTTGAAGGGGTGGGTTCCTTCATTGCTTGGTACTAATTAAACTGTATAAAACTTCATTTCAAATTCTTTTTGGTGAATTTTGTATCTCATTTTTGGTTGCAGATGAAGTTATCTTTTGGCATCTCACTTATTTCATGCTGTTCTTTTTCTTGTACTCTGGATATAAAATGGAATCATTTCTTTACAGGTTAGAGCAAATGATATGTATGATGGAGTTGAGGAGGGCTATGACAGCTCAAGAGATGACATCTCATCTGTTTCTTCGTATAACGCCATGAAAGAGAGTCTATACAGAGGCTTTGGAAGTTCATTATCACTGGGATCTTCTTCTGCAAGATCATTGACCAGGGATGCATCTACATTAGAAGGTTTTCGAACAAGTTTATCTTCAAATTTGGCACTTCCTCGGCTTTCTGTTGCTGAAGTGTTATCTGATTCTGGTGCTGGTGAGCATATCAAACTTTACCAGTATGTCTTTATGTTTGAAACTGCTAATTTTTTACTGTGGAAATTTATTTCTGAAACGGTTTAAGCTGTGTTGGTTTATGAGTGTCTCATTGATACGAGTCATCGATACAATTGCTTTGAAGTTACTTGGTATGCTAATTCATTTAGAAAACAGATGTCTTGTCAAGCCAAAAGTCATTTGCCATTGTGTCCCCAAATGAGAAACAGAAGCTGCAAAAGACATTTTCTGCACAAGAAGATATGGGAGTATCCTCTTCACCTGAAGCTGGGGCTGTAGAATCTTTTTCATGTAAATTGATGCATTTTCTACCCTTCTATAATAATTTAATGCACTTCAGACACATTCAATATTGTAATTCAAAAAAAAAAAAAATGCATTTCTTGTAAGCTAATTTTTTGCAGACATTTTCTGCAGCAGAAGGCTTTATTAGAGGAAGGTCTTACAATATCCGACTTGATGATCAAGTTTTGCTTAAATTTTCCCCAAAAAATTCCGACTCAACTTATTACTTTAGTGATATGGTAAGGATAATGAAGTAGTGGTTGATGCTTGGTCTATATAGGAATTCTATTAATCCAGCAACCTTCTTGTTACAGATAGGTGGCACTCTCACTTTCTTTCATGAAGAAGGAGCTAGGAGATGCCTTGAGGTGACTGCTCTTGTCTGTTGAGAGTTAAACTAATAATAGTTTACAATTTTTTTTTTTTTGGTTGGTACACTAGAAGTGAGTTTACTATAATAATTATTATTTTTCAGATCTCGATAACATTGGAAACTTCAGAAACTATAAATAGACGGTTTGTCCACCCTTCTAGAAGGAATTCTCCTACAATTACAAAGGTACTTGGTATTACTAATAGCTCTCACTACTCCAGCTTATTTTAAACACTGATCGGTTGAATAAAAATATATATTAAATCTATTTACATTAAGTTTCTCTTGTAGATATTGTTCTTGTAGGTCTATGCATCCATCTCAACAATCATTTATGCTAAACCTAATTGTTTTTGTTCCTGTTGTCACTTGACTTCCTAGCTTTTGCTAATTGCTAGTCTTTTAGCTGTTGGAATTTTATTTAGTTTTATAGGACTTTGTGACCACTTTAAGTGCAGAGTTTCAATATAGCAACTATGCACCATTTGATGTAATCACCGAAAACCCTTTGTCACTAATAACTACAATGTGTTTTTCAGAATTAATGTAGATTTTGTTTACTGGTTCCTTTTGATTAACCATATGCATGATTATTCAAGGGCCAATATAGACTCTGTCTACAATACTCGAGAAAAAGAATGGATCATTATCTATAGAGAAAATTGATGAGCATATATGTATTTTAATATATTATTGGCTTCTCATAATTGTGGTTCTCAACTATACTTATAGGTTCAGAGTGATCATCATGAGGTTGTAGCAGATTTGTTGCAGACAAGCTTTCTGTTTTCTATCCCCATGGATGGTCCAATGTCCTTCTCAACTCAACATGTTTCTGTGCAGTGGGTTCTCCGCTTTGAATTTTTCACAACTCCAAAGCATGTAGATTGGAGAAAGTATGAGTTCCACCCTTGACCAACTCTTCTACCAATATTCACCTCCACCTGCTTTTTTGTTGATCTTACATGAGAGCAATTCATTCATATGTCTGAACATTTGGACTTTAACCAAGTTCAATGATGCATATGATCCATGTAGTGAACCTCATTTGTAGGCATAAGCTATTGTTGCATTGTAAACCTTGACTCGTGCTTCAAATGATGAAAATGGGTTTCATGGAATTGTTAGTGGCATTGGACATTTAAATTTATACGACTTTTTGAACCACAGGTATGATCATCCTCTTTTGATTGAGGCAAGGGAAAAAACGGAATGGATTCTCCCAATTACTGTACATCCTCCACCACCAAGAGCTCCTGCTTCTGGCACAAGAAACGAGAAACTTTTCTCTTTGGATCCTATGTGGGTACACACTTGAAGGTAGGTAATATGAATCTTCGATTTGCTTTGAACTAGCTCAATAACTGTATCTATGTTAATCAGTGTTGCATACGGAAATACAATATCATTGCATAAAAACATCAGATTATTATTTGGTTTTCCTATTTTACATCATCTCTTACGATTGGTTACCATATTTTCTTATCTCATGATTAGTTTCCCTAATTAAACAGGAATATGAGTAGTGTAAATATAAGTTAATATGGTAAATTTTTTACACCCATAAAACTGTTATACATTCATTACCCAGAATCAAGTCAACATCAATCTCTTGATAGTCAATCTCTATTCTTTCCTTTTCCTCCCTCAACCTAAAACTCTGCAGTTTCAATAACTAGCACTGATATTGTTGTTCAATAACTTTCTTTTATTTGGTTATCACTTGATTGCCATTATGATTTGATATATATGTATATATATATATATATATATATATATATATATATATATATATATATATATATATATATATATATATATATTTAGAACTGTTTTTGATATTGATGTTTTCTGCAGTTAAATTACACTGAAGCTGAAATATGAGTACCAACCATTGTAGCCATTTTTAATACACCTCAAGCTTCAACTCCTTAATGTACAAATTTTTCACAAAGTAGCAGCCAGTGAAATGTCAGAATGATCATTTGTAGCATACCAGAATTCGAGCAATTTGTCGTGATGTTTAACTGAAATGTGGCAGAGGTCTTTTGCGTACAATATTTCTTCTCATTTCATGTTTTTCATATTTGCCTTTGGTGCAAGGTGATTTATGTCTCATAGTTTATCCAGTTAATTGATTTTTGTTTTATTTTTTTAATAACTCAAAAAGGGTTTTAGTAGATTGTATGAATCATTGTTTTGTTTTGGTTATTAAATCATTAATTAGAGATAGAAGGGTATAAGATGGTGCCTTAGATTTGATGGTTCCAGTCTCTTGGACCTCTTGGATGATGAATAATGCTAAGCTTGCTTTGTAACTTTTATATCTCTTGTATTTGTTTCTGTGATGTTAATGTAATCAATACCACTCAATAATCTTCCTCTATAAACTGTTAGCTTATACCAGATAGAAAGGGATTTAGATTTTGAGGTCTACTTTATCTATTAAAATGAGTTTTTTCTTCTTGCACTCCATATTAAAAAATAGATGACAAATCACTTGATGTGGAATTATGATTGAATATTAAAACTAGCAAGAGAATTTGAGTTTTGTTGCTGTGAATTTTAATACTGATTATAACGAACTATTCTTGTATTGGACAAATTGCTCTGAAAATGAATTTGGAACAAGATGAGGAGCATTTTCTTGGGTTTCTTTTTTCTGTTTTCAAATTTTAATTATAAAAATGCGATTTAAAAAAAAATTGTACTAGAAATAGAAAAAAAAGTTGTCAATATTTTCTATACAAGAATAAAATAAAAAGTAAGTAGCATTTTTTTAATTATAAAGTGAAAAATAGAAAATGAAAATGGAAAATGAAAGCGTAAGTAAGCTTCCTTAATATTGCTAGTAATAGTGTTTTATTAATTAAGGGAATAGGTTTATGAAACATTAAATATACAAAAATAAAATGTATTTTATAGAAGTTTATTAAAGTGAAGTAGCTTGTACTTTCTGAAACAAAATGTCAAAATTAAAATAAATTATAATTAAATAATTAGTATGATTAATAGTACACTTTATCTATACACACTTCGTATATTTTACAACGATCGCTTTTTAATGAAAAAAATCCATCTCTGTTACAGTACGACAACCTTATTATGCGATTAGCTGTCTAATGAACACGTTAATGCAAGAATGGTATAAGGTTTTATTTATACAATTTTAGATTGAATATGTGAATACATAATTTTTTTTACTAAATAGATAATTTAGTCCTTTTATTTATTAAAATGTTTATTTATTAAAATATTTTAACCTGGTCCTAAATTTTTAAAATTTTCAATTTAGACATGAATATTGAAATTGATGTGAATTTTGGACTATCAGTTATGTATGTTTTGACTCAGTTATATTAGATGCTCTAGTTGAAGTATCGGTTCGATGTGGTTAGATGATTGATTATAGTTACGTGACGATTTACCACGTCACATTAAAATTGTTTATACTCTAAACACATCCGTGATTCCTATTCTTTTTTCCTACAATTTTAATGTAACGTGACAAATCTGTCACATAACTATAACCAATTACCTAATAATATCAGAACAGATATTCCAACTAGACATCTAATATAACGGAGTCAAAAACATAAATAATGGTAGTCCAAAATTAACACCAATTTCAATATTCATGTCTAAATTGAAAATTTTAAAAATTTTGGGACCACATTGAAACATTTTTAAAAATAAAGAGACTAAATTACCTATTTAACCTAATTTTTTTAAACACAATTCAATTTTTAAGTAAACATTTACTTTTTAAAATCATATTATTCATTTTCTTTTTCCCTAACAAGATGGAGACATACTTTTTGATCGTAATTACAAGAAATTAAGAGTATTTTTCATTTTTCATGTCTGTTATTAAATTTTGTATGTACAAAGCAAAATATATCTGAAAAAGTTATATATATATATATATATATATATATATATATATATATATATATATAAATGTCCATGTAAATTTGAAAATATAAAACATTTATAAATAAAAAATTATATATAATAATAATGTATTTAAACCACAATATTATAAATTTGTAGATAGTAAATTTAGTTTTAGTTGTATAGGTATAGAATTCAATTTTTTAATAGTTTGAAGAATACTATTTAATATAGTCATTTTATGAAATGAAAATGAAAATGAAAATTTTACCTAAATTGGCCCATGCAGGTTTCGAACCTGCGACCTTCGCGTTATTAGCACGACGCTCTAACCAACTGAGCTAATAGGCCACATGTAAATATAAATAAAATTTACAATAATATTTATTTGTTTCATTTATCTTTTATATTTTACAGTAGCGAGAGTCGTAATACTTAAAAACAGTCATAATATTAAAATGAATTATTATAGTTAATGTAAATGTTATTATAATATAATTAATTAACATAAGAAATTAAAATATATTTTATCTTGTATTTGATTTTGCATAATTGTTTAAGGGATTAACTAGTTTAGTAAATCTTTAATATAATATTGTATTCCATTATGGAGATATGTAAAATAATAATTTATATAACTAAGCCTTTTTTTTTTTTTAGTATTTCTTACCATTACAAATTATGACCATCAACAGGTTTAATACTAATTAATACTAGATTAAAAAAAAAAAAAAGTGTAAAGGCCTCATGAATAAGGGGAGGAGCTTAACATTTGTGGAGGGTTATATGTTATCAACCTCCCAAGCTAAAAAGTTAAGGATTTTAGGATTAAGATTTATAGTTTAGAATTTACGCATATCAAGATTTAGGGTTTAATAATATTCTAAAAAGGACATAAAAATTATTTAAGAGTAAAATGAGATTCTACTCTTAATTCTATAATGGGTATAGATGTTCTATTTAGCAATGATAACATATTGATCTCATGTTTATTATGATATTATCAATCAATTAACTCGTTCGAAATATTATTCGTTTTAGAATTTTAATTTGTCATAATTTTGTTATTAAAATACATATCGATGAGTTAAGAGAGGAGAGTATATATAAATTATATTTTTTATCTCGACTCTTAAACAATTTGGGTTGGGAGCGATGAAAATACTAAAATAATTATGATTTTATTTTGAAAAGACATGCCAATAAATTAAAATTTTTTATAAATTATTTTTATCTTGATTTAACTGTACACACAATATATAATACATATATGAAAGTAGGTATGTTAATTTCAAACTCTTACTGATTTAATGTGGATTAAGTACATTTTTCTGGTTGCTACAATTAATAGAGGACGATTATGTGAGGCCTAAAAATATGTTCAATAGCTTTGAAACTAATTTGATAATTGAGAAAAATTATACCAAAAAGATAATGCGAGGATATTTCCATAATTTCATTTTTGAAAAAACTACTAAAAGCAATTCGAGTTAATTGTAAGCGTAAGTCATTAGCTGGTTGCTACACTGTCAAATTAATTCTATTTTTTTTACCATTTGTTCTAGTTAGAATCCAAGTAAAATATAAAACTATAACAAAAAATAATAATAACAAATTAATCTTAAGATTTTTAATTAAATGAAATTCACTGTATTTATTCATATTTTGTTATTAAAGATTAATTTTAATTTTTCGTTCTTGTATTTTTAATAAGTTTAGACTTATAATTAAGTTATATACAAATATAATGAATGAAGAATTATTATATATAAATAGTCATCAACATCCTTTTTGTTAATAAGAGATTTTAGTTCACATAAATAAAAAAATATTTGTGTAATATTTGATGATAATAGATAATTACAAATATCATGCTAATCTTAATTAATAATATTTCGTGGACAAATATGTTATTAATAAATAATAAATGAATACAATAAGACGAAAGAATATAAAAGAATGAAAAATTAAATTTATAAATATATAAAATATATATTTATTTATCATTAAGTTTTATGGGTTAAAATTACAATTTTTTATTTTATATGTTATTTTTGTGACTGACAATATTACAATAAAAATATTTTTTTAATCCGTTCCACTGAACAAGTTGATGACTTGATAGAGTGGGTTTGAAAATAGCTACCTATCCTCAAATATTTATGGCAAGTTGAAGTGTCGGTCTATTGGACTTAACCCATTTTGTTATCCCCAAAAATAAGTCAGTCAATTTGTTTTATTTTGATTCATCTCACCTCTAACCTACAAAAAGCGAGGTAGAAAGAGCTAATATACCATAGTTAAGACAAACTATAGATTTCAGTTTATACAGGCAAAAAATGATGGGTTGACAAGCTAACAAACCATTTTGTCAAATTTTTTTAATAAAAATTTTTATATTTATTTTTATAAAAAATACATTTTTAATTATACGAATAATTTTTAAGTTTTTATTCATAAATTAATATTTTTATTAAATAAATTGAAAAATTATAATATTTATGTATTAAAATACTAAATTATAATTAATAATTTAAGATTAATTGGTTAATATTTATAATTTAAATTATAATATTGTAATATATTTTGATATTTCAATAATATAACACAAAATATATAATATTTTTAATTATAATCTTTATTATTTTAATTTTGATATATAATTTTTTTTTTAAATTGGATAAGTGACTAGCTCATCCCACTCTTGACTTGTTAAGTTGACATATTAAGCGAAACCGAACAAAATGAATTGTGAGATTAAAACTATCAATTTAGTATGATAATTTTAAGACCGACTGATGAGTTGACCCGTCAGATTTATCACTTTTATAATCTCTAAAATTTTAAAAGTATATCGATAAAAAATATAATTTATAATTGTGGATGAAAGTAAATTTATTCCCCTTGACATAATATGAATATAGTGTTTTACATGAAAGAAAATATTTAGTTGCACATAAAAGTAAAAAGGAAAGGTAACATGATAAAGTTATACACATATATTAGTTTGGTTATCCAAGTGCAATAACCAGTTGTTTAAACTCATAACCATAAATATGATTGATTATACCTTCTAAAGAGCCAAGAATTAATTAATTATTTTGTTCACTACTTTTGGTGGGCACATTAAGAGGTTGAAAACCATGTTGAAGTGTTGAATGCCAAACTTTTTCTATGTTATGCATTGTGTAGTTGCACTCATGTTCACTCCATCTTTCTAAAGAGTGTACTATTCCAGCTATGCGCCATGCACTCATTACCCTCCTTGGTAACCAATCCTACAACATGCATGATGTTAGAAACTTTATCATTTGGGATTCAATAGAACGATTGAATCAATTCAACAATGAAAAGATTGTATGAACAAACCTCACAAGAATGGACATTTTGAACACAACTAGGAATTACCATTGCTGGGGTGCAATGGTAGGAGCAATCCTTGCGATATTTCTTTGGTGGGAATTGTGAGAATGGAATAAACAATGTTCCTTTGGGTGCATTCAATTGTTCCTTCTTAGTCAATTCATCATCAACTAACCAAATCTATAAGATCAAAGAAACATGAGATAAAAAAGAACCTTCTTTATCAATGTTGACAAGATTGTATAAAAACTAGGAATTATTTTTCATACAATTATTCGTTCATGAATTTTTTTTCCTAGTAACCCTTACAACGCATTTTTCATCTCACATTCCAAGACAAATAGAAATATAGAAGAGTAAAACGAGAAAACTCCACCGAAAGAGCAAGGGCTTGTTTCTTAGTTTTAAAAAACAATTTTAAAGATTAATTTTAAAAACTGTTTTTGAGCAATTGTAAAAGAAACTTGTTCTGAAAACTCTCTTTTTGAAAATGTTCTAAGTTTGCGAAAACTATCATTTTATCAGTTTTGATTTTTTAATTTAAAAAAAAAAAAAAAAAAACGAAAGAAGAATTACAACACCTTTTGGGTGGAGCTTCTCTCAGTGATCAAACTAGTTTTAGAGCTATTGAACAGATTTTTTAGCATCACATAATCATCCTTATGAGTTGTGGCAACCTGAAACACAGTTAATCATCATGAGATCAAAATTAAGTTTGAAGTTAAATAATTAACCTATATATGTGTGTGTAGAGAAATTAGATCCAAACAAATAAAAAATCTCAACCTTGATGCCTTGTTGACACAATTTGAAAGCAAGAGTACAAGCAACCTTGGTGAGTTTGCCACTAAGTAATACTTGAGTTGTTCCTTTAGGAATACTGTTAAGAAGAACAGCAACTACAAGACTGCTTCCATCTACAACCTTAACATTTAGCTTAGGATGTTTCCTAACATATAATCCTCCATAGATGTTAAGCTCCTCCCCTTGGTTCATGAGACCTAGGCTTAACACTTTGACACCTTTTCTGTCTGCATCTAATATTGCTTTCTCTATCAGTCTGTTGATACTCATTTTTTGCCATTGCAAAGAGTACTGCAAAAATATGGAATAGTTATATAAAGTGTTCCTTTACACATTGATATAAAAGAAAATGGTGAGGTACATATATACCAAGAAATTTATAAACAGAAGAATTAAAATTATTTATATTTACCTGAAAATTGTACTTGGGTATTGCCCAAGTTTGCAACTTGAGTTTGTCAAAACGATTCCCCTCCACAGTGAATGTACGACCATAGAGCCATGTGAGGATCATTGAGCAAGCTGTGACAGGCCACAGAAAAAAAAGGTACCATTTTGGTGTGTAAGGGTTGGAGGCTAAGTGAGAAAATCCAAGTCTTAGATGATAGATCGATTTGGGTGTTGTGAGGTGTGTTAAGTGCACAACATCTGGGGTTTCTTCTTGTCGTTGCAGTGATGAATCATGCAATTGATCTGAACTCTTGTCTATGGTTCCATAAATGTAGTCATAAAATGGCATAAACAAGGAGTAGTTTGTCCTAAATTGAGTATGGTGCAAAGAGTGAAACCTGCAAGATACATACGAAAAATAAGTATCTACATGAATATTATCTTATAATAGTAAAAATGTAGTCTATAGCTATTTTTTTTTTAAATTCACATTGAACTGTTAAATACAGAAATTCATGATTAAATGTTAAATCGATTTAATAAAATAATAATTTTTAATAATACAATAAATCAATTAATAATAATAAATTTCTTAGTTAAAAAAACTATAATAATAATAATAATAATAATAATAATGAAAATAATTATGACAGTGGTAAATTATCGTTAAAATTATAAATATAAAATATAATACAAAAGTGAAAAAAATAAATAATAATAATACAAAAATATGTGTTCACAAATATTTAATTATTATTTAAAATTCATATTATTTGTAAGGATAAAGCAAAAATATTATTGTATTCATTTGAAACCTAGTTAAATGAACTAAATCAAAGATAATTGGTCAAAACTCGATATATTTGTCAATTTTTAAGATATTTGGAGATGGAGGTTTTCATATCTGTTTTAAGATTAAGATTTTCGGAATCACCATTCTAATACATGGACGATAAAACGATAAAAGATGAATGTCCCGTGATTCTTGGATACTTATACTTTGTGTTACCCTATAAAAAAATTTGATATTTCTTTCATTAGACACACTTTACTTCTCTATAAGAAAAAACACATTTAGCCACCGAAATTAGCGACCGAATTTTTTCGGTGGCAATTAGCGACCGATTTAATTTTGGTCGCAATTAGCGACCGATTTAGCGACCACTTTAATTCGGTCGCAATTAGCGACCGATTCAGCGACCACTTTAATTCGGTCTCAATTAGCGACCGATTTAGCGACCAAAATATGATTCGGTTTTCACTTTTTTATTTAGCGACGAAATAGCGACCAATATTTTGTGTCGCAAAATTTCGGTCGCTAAATCGGTGGCTATTTCATACTAAAATAAAAAAATCATTTAGCGACTGATTTAACGACCGAATTACAAATTGAAATAGTGACCGAATTAAAATCGATCGCTAATGAATATTATTTTTTTATTATATTTAAATATTTTTTTTATAAATATACTTTAATTGTTTTAGTATATTTTTACAATTTATTTTTTAAAAGTAATTTATTTTTTAAAAATAATTTAATTTTTAAAATATACTTTAAAAATAAACTTTGGTCTCAATATTAACAAAATGAATTGTAATAAATCAAATTTATTAAAAAATTATATTATAATAAATTAAGACTAGAGTGATGTTAACTATTCAATACATTGTTTAAGAAAAGTTTAATAACAAATATTCTTGAATTTATTTTTCAATTGAAAATTTCAATTGAAATTAAATTATATTTTAAAAATTTATATTAAAAAAATTAAACACATCAAATTATCACATTTTAATTCCTCATTAACTTAATTAATTAAAAAAATACAATTTTAATCAAATTATTACAATTTTATTTTATAATACTTTATTTTTAATCTAATTTTTAAATTTATTGTTTTATTATTATTAATTACTTAATCATGGTTGTTGTCATATAATTGATATACCAAAAAAATTTTATATCAATATACATTAGATAATAAATATATTATTTAATTAAACTATTATCGACTGATTTGTATATTGTAACCCAACAAGTGGAAAAACACTTTCAACACCACTTTCATAACAAACTATTTACAAATTAAACAGCTAACAAACCAATTATTCAACAATAAATTCATGAAAATTGTAGACTAAGATGAACACATGCGTAAAGATACTGGTCTGTATTTCGCAGGTCAACATTCGCTCAAGCGAAAATAACATCGCTCGAGCGACACCACCTGCACAAAATTGGCATTCTCGGGTTGTATTTCGCTTGAGCGACACCTGGTCTCGCTCGAGCGATATCTCGATGCAAAAATGTGTCAATAAATAAATAAAATATTTGTCACTTTTAAGAGCGGTTAATATTTTCACCGCTCTTAAAAGTGAACATATAATAGCGGTTCCAAGTGAACCGCTATCTAAAATATAGTTAGATAGCGGTTAAGGTTTAACCGCTATTAGATGTTCACTTTTAAGAGCGGTTCAAGTGGAACCGCTATCATATACAACCACATTTTTTTATTATGATCGATTAAATTTTCAATTAATCGATTATATTTGATAATTTTTTCAAATAATTAATTATAATCGATTATTTTTCTAAATAATTGATTAGAATTGATTAGTTTTTCAAATAATAGATTATAATTGATTAATTTCTCAAATATATATTAAAAAATTCTAAATAAAAATATAAATTATTTAAGAATATTAACTATTGTAAAGATAAAGTAGAACATGAGAGGAGATGTGGATGATAATATAATGATAGAATTTACAAAAATGTAGAATTGAGAAGTTTTAAAAAGAAAAACTTAAGAAAATAGAGATTTAATTATACTTTTAATAAATTTAAGATAATACTAGTTTTGATTTTTATTTTTAAATATTTATTTTAATTTTTTAAAACAGAGAAACTATAATTTTAGTTTCTAAATACTAAATTTAAAGAATTAAATTTATTATTATTTAATCTTTTAATTTTAGTACTAAAAATTTAAATTATATTTTATTAAATTAAAATAATTACAATATATTTTTCTACTTTGAGAATGAAAAATATAATTAAACTCAAAATTGACAATATTATAATACATTTTTGAACTCTTTTGGATTAATTTTTTTTCCTAATTTTTGATAAAGTTAATTTTAATATTTAAAAGTATTTAACATTTTGAATTCTGAAACGTTTTCTCTAATAGCAAATTTAAAAACATAATATTCAAAAAAATAGTTAATGTAAGTTTTCATTATGATCGATTATATTTTGAAATGATCGATCATATTTGAAAATATATAATAGCGGTTCCACGATAACCGCTATCTAAAATATATTTTAGATAGCGGTTAAGGTTTAACCGCTATTAGAAGTTCACTTGTAAGAGTGGTTCCGAGTGGAACCTGTATCTTATACAACCACATTTTTTTATTATGATCGATTAAATTTTCAAATGATCGATCATATTTGATAATTTTTTCAAATAATTAATTATAATCTATTACATTTCTAAATAATTGATTAGAATTAATTAGTTTGTCAAATAATAGATTATAATTGATTAATTTCTCAAATATATATTAAAAAATTATAAATATAAATATAAATTATTTAAGAATATTAACTATTGTAAAGATAAAGTAGAACATGGGAGGAGGTGAGAATGATAATATAATGATAGAATTTACAAAAATGTAGAATTGAGAAATTTAAAACAAAAAAAATTTAGAAAATAGAGATTTAATTATACTTTTAATAAATTTAAGATAATACTAGTTTTGATTTTTATTTTTAAATATTTATTTTAATTTTTTAAAACAGAGAAACTATAATTTTAGTTTCTAAATACTAAATTTAAAGAATTAAATTTATTAATATTTAATCTTTTAATTTTAGTATTAAAAATTTTAATTATATTTTATTAAATTAAAATAATTACAATATATTTTTCTACTTTGAGAATGAAAAATATAATTAAATTAAAACTGAAAATATTATAATACATTTTTGAACTCTTTTTGATTATTTTTTTTCCTAATTTTTTATAAAGTCAATTTTAATATTTAAAAGTATTTAACATTTTGCTTTCTGAAATGTTTTCTGTATTACCAAATTTAAAAACATAATATTCAAAAAAATAGTTAATATAAACTATATTTTAGATAGCGGTTCCACGTTAACCGCTATCTAAACTGTATTTTAGATAGCGGTTAATGTTTAACCGCTATTAGATGTTCTGTTTTAAGAGCGGTTCCAGTGGAACCGCTATCATATACAACCATTATGATCGATTAAATTTTCAAATAACCGATCATATTGGATAATTTTTTCAAATAATTAATTATAATCGATTAGTTTTCTAAATAATTGATTAGAATTGATTACTTTTTCAAATAATAGATTATAATTGATTAATATCTCAAATATATATTAAAAAATTATAAATAAAAATATAAATTATTTAAGAATATTAACTTTTGTAAAGATAAAGTAGAACATGGGAGGAGATGATGATGATAATATAATGATAAAACTTACAAAAATGTAGAATTGAGAAGTTTAAAACAAAAAAAATTAAAAAAATAGAGATTTAATTACAGTGTTAATAAATTTAAGATAATACTAGTTTTGATTTTTATTTTTAAATATTTATTTTAATTTTTTAAAACAGAGAAACTATAATTTTAGTTTCTAAATACTCAATTTAAAGAAATAAATTTATTATTATTTAATCTTTTAATTTTAGTATTAAAAATTTAGATTATATTTTATTAAATTAAAATAATTACAATATATTTTTCTACTTTGAGAATGAACAATATAATTAAACTCAAAATTGACAATATTATAATACATTTTTGAACTCTTTTGGATTTTTTTTTCCAAATTTTTGATAATGTTAATTTTAATATTTGAAAGTATTTAACATTTTGAATTCCGAAAGATTTTCTCTAATAGCAAATTTAAAAACATAATATTCAAAAAAATAGTTAATGTAAGTTTTCATTATGATCGATTATATTTTGAAATGATCGATCATAATTGAAAAGATATAATAGCGGTTCCACGTTAACCGCTATCTAAAATATATTTTAGATAGCGGTTAAGGTTTAACCGTATTAGAAGGGTGCTTTTAAGAGCGGTTCTAGTGGAACCACTATCATATACAACCACATTTTTTTATTCTGATCGATAAGATTTTTAAATGATCGATCATATTTGATAATTTTTTCAAATAATTAATTATAATCGATTAGTTTTCTAAATTATTGATTAGAATTGATTAGTTTTTCAAATAATAGATTATAATTGACTAATTTCTGAAATATATATTAAAAAATTATAATTAAAAATATAAATTATTTAAGAATATTAACTATTGTAAAGATAAAGTAGAACATGGGAGGAGATGAGGATGATAATATAATGATAGAACTTAAAAAAATGTAGAATTGAGAAGTTTAAAACAAAAAAAAATTAAGAAAATAGAGATTTAATTACATTGTTAATAAATTTAAGATAATACTAGTTTTGATTTTTATTTTTAAATATTTATTTCAATTTTTAAAAACAGAGAAACTATAATTTTAGTTTCTAAATACTCAATTTAAAGAAATAAATTTATTATTATTTAATCTTTTAATTTTAGTATTAAAAATTTAAATTATATTTTATTAAATTAAAATAATTACAATATATTTTTCTACTTTGAGAATGAACAATATAATTAAACTCAAAATTGACAATATTATAATATATTTTTGAACTCTTTTGGATTATTATTTTTTTCCTAATTTTTGATAAAGTTAATTTTAATATTTAAAAGTATTTAACATTTTGAATTCTGAAACGTTTTCTCTAATAACAAATTTAAAATCATAATATTAAAAAAAATAGTTAATGTAAGTTTTCATTATGATATAATGAGAAAATAATCGATCATTTTATATGATTTTTGCAATATCGCTCAAGCGAATTTCACATCGTTCGAGCGACGCCAACTACTAAGATTGTGAAGTCTCGGGTTGTATTTCGCTTGAGCGACACTATACTCGCTCAAGCGATATCCGATTCAAACATGAGGTCACCCATGTTACATTATCCGACTAACTTTGATCGACGGTTACGTAGGTCAACATTTGCTCAAGCAAAAATAACATCGCTCGAGCGACGCCACCTGCACAAAATTGGCATTCTCGGGTTGTATTTCGCTTGAGCGACACTGGTCTCGCTCGAGCGACGCCGGTCTCGCTCGAGCGACGCCACCTGCACAAAATTGACATTCTCGGGTTGTATTTCGCTTGAGCGACACTGGTCTCGCTCGAGCGATATCTAATGAAATAGCGGTTAAGGTTTAATCGCTATTAGATGTTCACTTTTAAGAGCGGTTCAAGTGGAACCGCTATCATATACAACCACATTTTTTGATTATGATCGATTACATTTTCAAATGATCGATCATATTTGAATATATATAATAGTGGTTAAGGTTTAACCGCTATTAGATGCTAACTTTAAGAGCGGTTCCAGTGGAACCGCTATCATATACAACCACATTTTTCATTTTCGTATACATCCCAGTCGCGCCACTTATCCCCAAATAACCCTAACTATCGCGCCTCACTCACCCATTCCTTTTAACCTTGCAAATCCCACGGCCAGTATCTCCTCCTCACTCCCGGCGAGCCCTAGCCCCCTCACTGCTCCCCCCAAGTCAGCCCTCACCCTAATCCAACCTCCACCAAACCCCAGTCATCACCACCGCCTCCCTGGCCACCATCGTGGCCATCCCTAAATCTCAACCTAACCTCCACTATTGAACCATCAGCGCACTAGAGGTGAGTTAGAGGGGTCGCGGGTCAAGCCCTTCGGTTCACATTTTGCTGCTATGTTCTATTTCTTTTATGCCTTTTTACTGTGGATTGTTCTCCTTGGTTAAGGATGAATTGTGTGTGGGTCTGGTTTATTTTCGTATGAATTGTCAAACTGACTACCTCTATTGGTTGAATCGGGTTCGGTTTGATTCCGGGTCTTATACTTGTTATTTCCGTTTAGTTTTTTTCCTGAATATGTAGTTTTCATGTTGATTGCGTAATTTACAAGACCTTACCATCCACAAAATGTTTTCCACTCGTGCTTATCTCGTATAGAACAGCTTTATACACATCCAAAAGTGAAGGTATGAAGTATGTTCATTTTGTTAAGAAGATTATTGAATTTTAGGTAGATGTAGATACCTGCCTTTTTTTTCCTTACCTGTCTACTTAATACCCATGAACTTACCATTCTTGGTTTCCTTACCTATTACGTCATCGTATCTTCTCAAGCTGTTTGTCACAAATTCAATGCTAACTGTTGTGTGGATGTTTCTAAATTTACATTACATTGTTTGTGTGTATTTATTAAATTATAATTATAATTATATAGTCTTGCTGAACCTGAGGAAGAATTTTGTTTTGCAGTTTTGTAATGAGTACCCAGTACCCAAGGGTATGCTAGACAATTTTAAGAAGGTCACCCCTCAAGATATTGTTTGCTCTCAGGTCTTCAATCCGATTAAACCTTCTCATTTGCAAATTGCATATAATTTTGATTCTTTCTCTTCAAGGAGGAATTCCATTTTGTTTTATATATGTATATGGCAGAAGAGTGGTGGAGTTACTCTGAAAGAGGAGGATGTAGTTGTTTGTAACGTCAAAATTGATTTGACTAGTGGAAATCATAATCCTCTTGAAAGGTATTCAATGAAGAATAATCATGCTTGCTGAACATAGACATTTAGTTTGTTTTAACTTACTATAATGTTATCCTAATGCATTATTTTTCTCTCTTATGGTGCATGTTTTTGTGGCAACATCCACTTTTTCAAGGTACATCGCCATACCTACCTAACTATCTTTCATCAAGATATTTCTTTAATCTTCTTATATATTAATTGGTTTTGCCTGTGTCTATATTGTATTAGTGGATTATATCTTTTTTTTTGCACTATTAAACCTCTTACCTTATGCAGTTTGACAGTTTCCTTGCTAATAAGTTTTAGTTTAAACTGTTTTATATTACTTCTGTTGGGATACTGGGCTGCAATTGTTCAAAATTATTGAAATATTTAAAGGGTTTAGTTTGACCCGATTATTGGTGCTTAGTTTGGAATTAAATTATGCTAGCTGTATTGAGTTACCTAGTTTCAATAATGCATTCAGGATTATGAAAGCAATGAGAAATTTACAATACCCGATGACCGTGTAAGCCACTTGCTACCTATATCTTACCAAGATATGATAGTTAAGGTGTACTCCAAAAAGGCTGAACTAGTTAGTTATCCTGTGCATGTTTAAACTTCTTTCCTTTACCCATTCAGGTTGGATTCACTAATATATTGCTTTGTGCAATCCTATAGGTGCAGACAATTTCAGAGGCTTTTGAAAATTTTCAATTGAAGACATATGGGATCAAAGCACAGGCACATTCAACACCACAAAAGAAGCAACGTTACAATTCAGTTTTATGAAGGGAAATGTATCATTACTATGATACTATTTTTTTTTTTTGTTCACCTTTATTGTGTCACACCCTTTCTTGGTATATATGCATTTTCTACAATTGAAATATAGTCTTAAGTCCACAGAAAACAATATTGACACCCTCTTAAGGTTGTGCTAGAGTTACCATATAAAAAAGGCAATTATGTGTATAGCAGTGTTTGAGTGTAACAGTTTCATTTAGTAGTACCTGGCAATGAGAAATCTTTTCTGTCACTGTTAGTTGGCAGTTTCAATTTGCAAATGTTTCTCAAATCTTAAGTTTATGACAAATTGGTCCACATTTCATGGATGAGAATGCATATTAACTACTAACTACTAAGCATTCATTATGTAATACAATTGTGTCCAATTGGAGAAAAAAAGTTGTCTAATAAACTTGATATAATTAAAAATGTAAATAAATAAAAATAATTAACTTTGTTATTAATTTAGCGACCGATTTAAATCGGTCGCTATTTTTTTACTTTGTTATTGATTTAGCGACCTATTTAAATCGGTCGCTATTTTTTTACTTTGTCACCACTTTAGCGATCAATTTGATATATTAATTTCGATCGCTATTTTGCGACCGAAATAAAATCGGTCGCTAACACATTAGCGACTTGGCTTTTTGCGACGACGCCTTTCGGTCGCTAACTGATTAGCGACCGATTTTTTGACATTAGCGACCGATTTTTTCGGTAGCTAAAATGAATTTTTCTTGTAGTGCTTTATTATCTCGTATTTCACTTGTTCATTCATTAATTTAAACATAAAAAATCTTTGCAAGTGATTTTTCATCCGTCCCAATATACACAACCACAGAATATTTCATTAAGCTTGTAAGTTACTCGTGCAGTTTAATCAGTCTTGTGTATGTTGGTAAGAACAATTATATATATATATATATATATATATATATATATATATATATATATATATATATATATTTTTTTTTTTTTTTAAATTTTCCTTAAAAAAATATAACAATTTTTAATCTTTAATTTTTTTTTAATCGGGTAGATTTAAGTTTATGTGAAGAATAGTGTTCTTTAGTTTATTAGAAAGAAGAAGAGTAGGACTTTTATGTTTTTAGTTGTCACATCTAGTAGTAGATGAGTACAAGTCATGCATAAGTATGTTTGTTTTTCCAAAAAGGAAAACATACTCAAATATACAAGTTATTAAGATTGTTTTGAATAATTTTAATTTTGTAATCATTTTCATTCATTCTATTTTAAATTTTTTAATATAAAATTAATTAATAATATATTGAGTAGTCTAATAAATATTTAAAGATGTGAGACTTTTAACATGTCTCCATTAAAGGTAATATCTAAATTAGTGTAAAAACTATAATTCTTAAACCAAATAGGAAAGATAACTTTTGAAGTAAAAAAAATTAAATTTTGACTCTAATGTTATAATTTTAATATAAAATTAATTATAATATATAGAATAACTTAATAAATATTTAAATCATATTATATAACAGGAGACAAATTAGATTAGACGAGACTTTGAACTTGTTAAAATTCAATTTTCTCATATAAAATCGTGAAAACTTTAAATACGAGCCATATAATTAAAAACGATGAAATTAAAAGTTAAAGACTTACGATGGGGTGTACATGAAGTATTTGAGAGGGGGGAAGATTTTGAAGAGGTAGTTTGGAACAATCTCAAAGTTGCAATGACCCATGTTGTTCATAAAATCAATGTACGTCACATATCCAAACACAACCATCAATGAGGCTGTTTTTGTGAAGACAAGGGTTAACAATGGTACGGAAAAGAGAAGGAAGTACGATATGATCTCAACAAATGGATGGATGACAGCTGCATCAACAAAATTCAAGGATTAGATAATGAAAAAAAGAGAGAGTATATATTTAGATGAATGATGACATTACAATTAAAATTACTTTCTCACAACGAGGAAATTTTGATTTCGCCTTCGGAAAATCAAAATTATTTTTTCTGGATCTTTAATATACAAATATTATTTTAATTTTTAAAATATTTTGTTAAATATAACTTTTAAAATAATTATATATGTAGAGAGAGAGAAAGAGAGAGACCAAAAATGATAACTATAAAAATTTGTTCATCTAATTTTTACACAATAGATCGAGTCTAAATTAATAGGATGACATATTCTGCTAATATTTGATTTACTAAAAATATGCACGAATCGATTTTATATACAAACAAATTTATCAATGATCTATTATATTTTTAATATCGAGATTTTGGATAAAATAATTCTACGAATCAATTGGATTAAATTCAATTTAAATTTATTGGACTATTTTTATAACGAAGTTAAATTAAATTAAATTAAATTAAAAATAAAAAATTATTATTATTATAATATTTATTTAACTTATTTAATTATATTATTAATTATATATATATATATATATATATATTTAAATATTAAATTATTTAACCACTCGAATATTAATTGATATAATTGATTTTTTAAAATATTATTCTTAAATCCCATACAAATATTTTTAAATTATAAATTAAAAAAATAATAGTTTGTGACCAATTAATCCAATATAATTTTATCCGATAATAAAAGGTTGGATAAAAAACTTACAAAATTTCACGACTTTTATTTATTGAGTTGATGAATTTGTCTAACCAATCTATCCATATATATTATACCTATAAAATTTGAAATAATAGATAAGTATAAAGAAGAACTTAGTTACAGAATTTTTAAATTTTTTATTATTAATAAGAAGTCATAAAATTGTGAGAGGTATAACAATGTTTAAAATATGTTGAGTGAAACAAATGTGACTCACAAGTAATGGGTTCTGTGACAATGGAAGAATGGTGGTGAGAGTGGTATCTAGAGTAGAGAAAGTGATGATGAAGTGCTCTGTGTAACCAGTAATAAAGAAACTCCACTGGTCCTGCATGAAGCACCATTGCCATAACCACTCCATCTGCTCTCCATAATGGAAGGTGTGAGGCACCAACAAATGCATAGTTTGCCAAGTAATATACTAATCCATTGAATAATATCTGGTCATCCCTGCAACATCAAAAACAAAAACTAACAAAATGACCACTGCATCTCTTCAAGCACTTAGTTAACTAACAAAATGAAGGGTACTAAAATTAGAGTTCTCAAGTTAATTAGACAAACGAACCAATTTCTTTCTCTATCAACTTGATCAAATTCAATTCCTTTGTCAACAATTCTTGCATTGCCTTTGGCAGTTCGATATCGAGAGAGAGTGATCCATATTTGATTATGAAGCAGACGCCACAGCAAAAATGGTAGAATGAGAAAGGCTACCATGTTCCTTTCACTCTTATCCTTCACCAACATATCATACCAACTATGAACCACAAAAGGAACCACTAGTACGTACTGCAAAATTATGTACACCATTAACAATTTGATGAGACAAGAATATTTTTAAATATTTCTACTCATCTTTCTGCATCTTTTCTTATAAAGGTTCCCAATTATAAAAGTATAATGTGAATTGTTTATATTAATTTACAAAAGATAAATATTGAAAATTGTGAATTATTTAATCATACAAAATCTGTAAAATAAAAATTATAGTTATTTATATATTATTTTTTTCAATACAAGATTTCATCACACCTTTTTATTTATTTCGAAGAAAATTTTCATCTCTTAACATCCTCTCTAATATAATATTAAAAATTATGAAATATTTAATGTAATATATATTATAATATTATCATAGGTTTAATCGTTGTAAAATTTCATTAAAAAATATGTTAGATTAAATATATATTTATCACTTATATAGTTCTTTGTGTTAGAATTAAATTATTTTTCTAAAGCAGTCTTTGTAAATATTTAGTTCTTATAATGTTTTAGTGTCTGGTTTCTCATTTCGGGATTTATTTTCAGTTTTTATCATTGTTTTTCAAATGGAGTAATTCAAAGTGAATAAAGGATGATAGGAACTAATAAGAAGAAAAATGGATGTACTACGAAGAGTAAAACAAAATAACTAGAACTAAACTAGACTTTTACGAAGATAAAAACTAAAAAACCAAGATATTATGGTATAATTTGATGCTTGAATAGCATCTTCTTGAAGTGTAGATAAACCAGTGCCAAATATAATGGTTGACCTAACCCTAAGTTTGCTGAAAATGAGTGAGGAAAAGGTGTGAAATTAACCTTGAAGCTTCCAAGAGGCTTCCATGGCCACTCTGTGAGGATTCCAGGTGTTGAAGCCATACTTTGTTGGCAACACACACAAACTAAATTATTTGAGAAAGTATTTTGTTGTGATCAAAAGTGTTTTTTTTTTTCTCTCTGCTATGAGGAATCATGGATGGGTTACTATTTATAGCTAGACCTTACCTACTCAATTCAACTGTTTTTGCATTGAAATGATGTATGGACAATGACAATGAAAACAAAATCTGATAGTGAATCCAATTAATGAATATAATAATCATTGAAAAATTAATTAAAATAAAAATAATTTAAAATTATAATTATATTATTAAATGAAGAGAGTGATGTGGTTGATAATTTATTTGTTAGAAGGAGGTTGTCAATCTATTTTTTTTCTTTTTCATTTAACACAAGACAATAACAACATCCTACCACACTCACGTTCACATGGCAAAGTGCCAACAGCCACAGCCACGTTGTTTTTTTTTAATAAGTAATAACACGAGAAAGTTATGTTTTTTTAAAAAAAATAAGTGATAAATTCTTAACTTTCCCAGCATCTATTTACTTTAAAAAGGAAAAATAACTGTGTAACTTTTGAATGAATTCTTTTTATATATATATATATATATAATATTTATTTATTTATTTTAGTAGAAACAAAAATAAATAAATTCCATATATATATATATATATATATATATATTATTTGTATAATTTATTTTTTAATAATAATATTATTATAAAGATTTATTATATAAGACTATTAAAATATAAAATATGATAATAAGAATTAATGATTACCATATTCTTAAAATAGGTTAATCTCCGTATATATATAAAATAATAATAAGATAACATTTTCTATTATTGAAAATACGTTTTTTTTACGTATTTATTGAATCTTTATTTGATTTGATATAGGTTTTAATAAATATTAAAAAATCTTGATAGTAAGTGCCTTTAAGATTATTTGTTAAGAAATTAAAAAACTATGCAAAATCATGTATCGAAATATACTAAAAATTATAAAAATAACACTTTTTTAATTATATTTCGATAAAAATGTATTCTTTAATCAATGATAATGAGTATTTAGCATGTTAAAGTATGTCTTAAAAAATTTAAGGGGTTGTAGCAATTTATAGTTTTTTTATAATTTTTCTAGGAATAGTCAGTTTTTATAATGATTCATTAAATTTCAAAATATATATTTATATTCATGTCAATCGATAATGTAAATATAAATAATATTTTCGTTTACTTCGTCACCAAATTTTGCTATGATTGGAATGAAATGAATACGAGTGATTTTAATGGAAGATTTTCTTTTCGTTCAATTAAGAGTGAACAAAAACTTTAAATTATTCAAGTTTCTAAAAGATTTGATGCGTTCCCTCTTCAAGAAAGGATTCTTATGGGAAGATTAAGAGAAGAATATTCCCATTTAACTTAAAAAGAACAAGAAGACAAGTAAATAACATAAATAGGTGAGCTTCCTTTCTTCAACCCTAAGCTTCAATTGATGTGAGACTAACAAAAGTGGCAGTTGAGCCTTGTGTTGTATCGAGAACAAGAAGGAGCCTAACTTTTCTCTCTCTCTCTTCCTTTGTGAGTTACTATATTTTTATTTTTATTTTTTATGTCAATTCCAAATTCAACAAGAAGAAAATGTAATGGATTAAACTTAGACTTTAAGCATGGCTAAAAAAGTCACAACTTTTACCTTACAATTAGGAAAATTATTTTTGATTTTTCTAATGATCTAATAACAAAAGAAGGATTAAATTAAGAAGTTAAGACCATCTAAATTTGTTTTTCATTTTCTTAACGTAGAAAAATTGTACTATAAAAATATGAGACTATTTCTAAGGAATTATGAACAAGTAAAGACTAAGCAAGACTTGTAAACAACACGGAGGATTGTAAAGTTCAAAACCAAGTAATAAATTTCATGTACTAAATTCAAACTAAGATAGCAAATTCAAAACATGTCATAAAATTCCTAAACTATGTATAATTGATTCAAGAAAGAACTAAGAAATGAATCAATTAAAACAACATAAGCATAATACACAAACATGACTTAAACTAATAGACTGAAAGATTATATTGCACAAGACTAAATTCAAAAATGAGAGAAGAAATATATGACTTATTTCTTAAAGACCTTCATGCTTAACTCTGATATCAAATTGATAGAAGATTTTTTTCTCCTTTACCGAAGAGTGACCAAAAACTTTGAACTATCCAAATTTCTTAAGAAACTCAGTTTGTTCTCCCGTCAAGGAAGGATCGTTGTGGAAAAATTAAGAAAATATTACCCTCATTTGACTTGAAAAGAACAAAAAGACAAGCAAATAACAAATATGATTCAAATTCTCATTTAAGTTGCCAACTAGGGATGACAATTAAACTCGTACCCGTGGGACTGGCCTATCCTTGTTCCGAGTTTGACGGGGAAAACCCGAGTTGACCGGGGGGGACGGAAGCGGGTTTGAGTTTTCCCCGCTTTAAAAAGTCGGGGGCGGGGACGGGGACGAAGATGGGTAATGTAATCCTTACCTCGACCCTAACCCCGTCCCCACCCCGACTTTATATTTAAATTTAAATTTTAAAATATTAATATTTTAAAAGTATTTCCTTTTCTTTTTCTATTACATATAAGGTCATTTTTTTATATTTAACCATTTTTTTTCTACCCACTTTTTATTTTTTTTATCTTTTTTAATCTTTTATATCAATTAATTTATTACATTATTCTCTCTCTTACCTTTCAGTTTTTCATATTTCCTTAATCTCTCCCATCAATTTGTTTTCAATCTTTTCAACCAATTTGATAAACACAAAGTTAATTTTTTTTCTTAATATTTTTCTAAATATTTTAAATAAATCTTAGTAGTAACTAATATTATTTTATTTATAATTTATATTTATTAGGTTTTATTATGTCATATTTTTTTATCTTATTATTCTTATTTATCATATATCAAATTTTATCTTAATAAAATAATTGTATTTTAAAGGATTAAAAAGAATTGATAATTTAAAATTTTATTACTTGAATTAATTAAATAAGAATTAACTTATTAAATATTTCCTTAAAAATCATATATTATATATTTTTAAATGACAACTTAAAAATAAATTAACTTATATATGTAATAAAATATTTGAATACAGTATAATAATAATAATAATAATGTTATAAGTATTCAAATATTTGAATACAATGTTATAATAATAATAATATTATAAATATTCTCTATATATAAATAAAAAATAATTAAATATTTCTTTTACATACATATTTTAATATAAATATAATAAATTAAAATATTTATTTAATTAATAATAATTATAAATTATAAAATTATAAATATTTATTTATATATAAAAAATACATAGTAAAATTAATTTATTATAAATGTAATTATCTTTTTAAAAATAATATATATCGGGGACGAGGCGGGGCGAGAAACCGGAAACCCAGCGAGGACGGGGATGAGAACTTAATTTCTAACCCCGACGTGAATCGGAGGTGAGGACGGGGATGTGAACTTAATTTCTAACTTCGGCGTGGATCGAAGGCGGGGACGGAGATATGGTTAAAAAAGTCAGGAACAGGGATCAGGGAGGCAAAACCTGCCCCCGCCCCGCCTCGCCCCGTTGCCATGCCTCCAAGAATATAAGCCACGGTGCTTTTTATATAGGTGAACTTCCTCTCTATACATACCCTAAGCTCCAAGCAACGTGGGGCTAAAAAGATTCATAGCCAAGTTTTCCTTTAGCATTATCAAGAACAAGGAGAAATGACGACATCATTTTGGTCGCACAAAGTACTCACAAAAAATAATAAATAGGTTGATAAACTAATGCAATATAGCTAATTCGTGTTGAATATCATAATGACACAATTGATGCATGTTTATTTTTCCTCACATTTATAGATTAAATTAGGTCAATTGCATGCATTTTTTGTAACAGTTGAACAATGTTTTTATATATTACCGTTGCATTTAACTTGTAGTGTAGTCTCTGTGTTTTGTTGAAAAAACAAGTGCAATTAGAACAATCTTGGTGTGGGCTTGCGTGGCTGGCATCACTCATAGGCTGACAATGGAGTTCTTAATTTTCTTTGCTATTGGGCTTGGGCTGAAACAGAGCAAAGGCATAAGTGCAGAAAGGAGGGTTGACGTGGAAAGTGGGCTACGAAAGTTAAAAGCTAAGGAGAGAGCAGAACCAGGGCATCATGAAAGAAGGAAGCAGCGTAGAAGTTTTTTTTTTTTTAGGTTTTGAATTTTTAAAAACTTTGATGGAAGGCTAAATTTTTTTCTTATGCCAGAGGATTAATGTAATATTCTGTAAGACAAATTCTGAACCTATTTATCTTGATGCATTGTAATTTCATTTACTCCAGTACTTTATATATGGTTTTTTATGTTTAATTTTAAACAGTTAGATTTGAAAAAATTGATATTGTTTATGTTGATAGATAAGTTAAGTTGGGTTTTTGTTTAATTGGAAAATTATACAAGCTTAACTAGTTTCTGTGGAGTAAAATATTAACCATCCAAGGTTCAATGAATTTTTCTTCTTCCAAGGAATTGAAAAATTAAAAGTTTAGTGAATAATTTTACTTACCTAAGAGATTAGGAAGTGAATAACACTTTTAACTCTATTGGGTAAATTTAATTCTTGCATCAATTAAATAGGCTAGGAAATTGTAAGAAGGGATATGAAATTAATCATCTAACATATATTTTACTGCAAAAGAAAATTATCTTTTCTATTGTCATTCTTTTAAACTTTTATTACTTAAACTCAGGAAAAATTAATGCTTTGGTATTCAACAAATATTCAATCCCCGAGGACGATAAAATGGTTACTTTTGTAACATTTGGTCCACTCAAAAAATATACATCAATTTCCTGGCGCATTGCTCGGAGATTGAAAATTTTTGTTGATATTAAAAAGTTTTTACTTGAGATTTGAGCTATAGTTTTTTTTTTTTATTGTTCCAGAAATTTTCTTTTCTTTTCTTTGCTTCTCTTCTGTACCTTTTAACATTGTTTATGCGAGGTACTATAGCACTAAAAAACTTACTGTTTGATCCAGAAATTGAACGTACTGTCAGACGAAATGGAGGAAGTGCACGAAAAAGAAAAAAAGAAAGAAGAAGAGAACAAGAAGAAGTAAATCACAATTTACATACTGCAGTCATGGAGCAGCCCAAAAGAACATTGAGGGACTACTCCATGCCAGATCCAAATAGTTACAAGGGGAGTATTGTTAGACCTCCTAACAAATTTTTTTGTCTTTTTTAATATTTTATATCAATTAATTTATTACATTATTCTCTCTTACCTTTCAGTTTTCACATTTCCTTAATCTCTCCCATCAATTTGTTTTTTTTTTTTCAATCTTTTCAACCAATTTGATGAATACAAAGTTAATCTTTTTTTATTCTTTATCTTTTTTAAATGTTTTACATAAATCTTAGTAGTAACTAATATTATTTTATTTATAATTTATATTTATTAGGTTTTATTATGTCATATTTTTTTATCTTATTATTCTTATTTATCATATATCAAATTTTATTTTAATAAAATAATTGTATTTTAAAAGATTAAAAGAATTGATAATTTAAACTTTTATTACTTCAAACTAATTGAATAAGAATTAATTTATTAAATATTTCCTTATAAACTATATATTTCATATTTTTGAATGACAACTTAAAAATGAATTAACTTATATATATAATCAAATGTTTGAATACAATATTATAATAATAATGTTATAAGTATTCAAAAATTTGAATACGAGTGTTATAATAATAATATTATTATAAATAAAAAATGATTAAATAATTCTTTTACATACATATTTTAATATAAATATAATAAATTAAAATGTATATTTAATTAATAATAATTATAAAATTATAAATATTTATTTATATATAAAAAATAGATAGTAAAATTAATTTATTATAAATGTAATTATCTTTTTAAAAATAATATAGATCGGGAACGGGACGGGGATGAGAACTCGAAATCCAACGAGGACGGGAATGAGAACTTAATTTCTAACTCCAACAAGAATCGAGGACGAAAACAAATATGGTTAAAAATATCGGAGACGGAACTTGGAGAAGCAAAACCCGTTTCCGTCCCGTTGTCATGCCTACACCAGTGCATAGCTCGGCCACATACTTAATTTTGGGATCCCGAAAAGACCCACTCTAAACCCACATGTTCTTAAAATCTTATACAATTTTTATAAAGCTAAGAAAAAAAAATTCTAGTAGACTATATTCCAAAACATGAGAGTTTTTTATTTTATTAAATCTTCCAATAGGTTGCATCTTACCTATTTTTCTTTAGAACTATTTTATATATTATTTTATTATAATATTTTAGGTATGAACGTTTACAAATTGAATTGGATAGATTTAAAAAATATGTTACTTCAATCTTTCTGATTTTTTAAATTGTAATTTAATTAATGCGGTAAAAAATTTAAATATAATATAACTAAATTTTATATAAAATAATTTGGATTTGGCCAAGTTATTTTGTGATTTTAATGGTACAACTAATTTTCTTTATTTAAAATATTAAAGAAATGATAAGATATAAAATTATCACTATTAAAAAATAATTAAATATATTAAATGTCTTATCTATAGTGATCATTAGTTAAACGAAATATAATTCTTTAGAGATAAATTATTAACAATAAGTTTACATGACTTGATAATTATATTTACATTTTCTTTTTAAAATAAATAATAAAAGTGTTGTCTTTAACTATGTATATTCTTGTAAATAAATACTATGTATGCAAATATATTAAGTAAATATCATGTATGCAAATATTTTAAATAATAAGTTGTTTCGTATTAGGGTTGGATTGAATTCAATTGGTTTAAAATGTTTTGGATACCTTTTTCTACTTTTTATTTTGATTAGATGGATTTATTAACCATTGTAGTAAGCTTTCAAGGCTATGGTTATATGGATTGTACAAAATACATAAAGAGTATTTTAAAAATATTTCAAAAAAAGGGTTGTTAGTTAAAAGAAAAATTAAAAACCTTTAAATATAACTCAAAAAATATAATAAATTCGAAAGTTGTTTGACACATAGAAAACGTTTAAAACTAAACTTCCTAGCATTTTTCTTATGGCTATATACTAAAACATTTATTTTAAAAATTGTAACAAAATTTATAATAACTTTAAGAATGTTGAACCTCATCCGTTATATCCACTACAAGAAAAATCGAAATTACCAACGGACAAAATCAGTCAGTAAATAAGAAAATTCGTCGGTAATATTTTTATTATAAAACCTATTTTTCTAGAGACACTCCCTCCCCTTTCTTTATATTATATTATTATTATTTATTTATTCGAACCCAAGTATCTTAGAGTTGGAGGCTGATACTCAAACCACTAAGCTACCAAAATTTTTCAATTATAATTTACAATAAATTATATTTATATACAAATAAATGTATATCCAAATAAATATATAAATACAATATATTTATATATTTGTATATTTATATATTTGTATATTTATATATTTGTATATTTGTATATCTATATATTTGTATTTGTATATTTGTATATTTGTACATTTGTATATTTATATATGTATATTTATATATTTATATATTTATATATTTATATATTTATATATTTATATATTTATATATTTATATATTAATATATTTATATATTTATATATTTATATATTTATATATTTGTATATTTGTGTATTTGTGTATTTGTATATTTGTTTATTTGTGTATTTGAGTATTTGTGTATTTGTTTATTTCTATATTTCTATATTTCTATATTTCTATATTTATATATTTATATATTTATGTATTTATATATTTATATATTTATATATTTATATATTTATATATTTATATATTTATATATTTATATATTTATATATTTATATATTTATATATTTATATATTTATATATTTATATTTATATATTTATATAAATATTTGGATTTTGCCGAGTTATTTTGTGATTTTAATGTTACAACTATTTTTCTTTATATAAAATATTAAAGAAATGATAAGATATAAAATGATCACTATTAAAAAATAATTAAATATATTAAATGTCTTATCTATATAGTGATCATTAGTGTATTTGTATATTTGTGTATTTGTATATTTATATATTTGTGTATTTGTGTATTTATATATTTATATATTTATATATTTATATATTTATATATTTATATATTTTTATATATTTATTTATATTTATTTTTTAAAATTATTTAATTTAATAAATTATTATAAATTAATCTAATTATGATTAAATTAATTTATTAAATAGAACAAATATTTAATTTTTTAATTAGGTGAATAATTAATTTATTAGAATATATTTAACATTAAGTAATTATTATATAATTTTATCGACGGATATATCCGTTGGTAATTAATTATTAATTTACCGACGGATTTACCGACAGATATATCCGTCGATAACTAATTATTAATTTACCGACGGATATATTCGTCAAGTAAGACCAATTTCCACAAATACTTTATATCCATCGGTAATTTTCGTCGGTAATAACTAATTTTCCGATGGCTATAAATCCATCGATAAAAATCAGTCGAAAATAAACGATTTTTTTGTAGTGATCAAACAAAAAGGAAATTGTTACAAAAAAATTCTAAAAGAAAAAAATTAAATCAAATTATAAATCTAGTTTGCAAATTGTTTATAAATGTTTTAAGAAAACTCGTTCAAGTTTTTTTTTTTAATTTAATGTTTAAGCTCGTGAAAATATTAAAATGGATTTGGACAAATATTTGATTTTCTATTTCACATATAATTATTAAAATTTCATAGTTTTACAAACATATAATTTATTTTTATATAAAAAAATGAGTTATATATTTAATTTTTTTAAATTAAGTAATTTCGTTTCATTGCTAATATTTTATCTAATTATTAAAGAAAATAACGAAAATATTGATGTGCATGCTGTTTCTTACTTGTAACATTCATTAAAAATTATTATTAATATTGTTTCTACTAATAGAATTAATTCAAATATTTTATAAATAAGTTATTATGAACTTATTAATTAATAGTACTTTAAGATAAAATTTAACATTTTAACTATCTTTTTATTATATTTTTAATATATTAGTAATTATAATATTATAAAATTTAATATAATGGTATCATTAAAATATAAAATCTTTTAGAAGAACACTTTCATTAACATGGTTAATTGGAGTACCAAACATCCTTATAAATGAAGTTGTTTATGCATGTTTCTCACATGGATCTCCTTCCTGTTTTTTTTGTTTATCACACCAAAATTCTGCAGTTTTTTTAATTTAGATTTAATATTAATGAATTTAATAAAATAAGAATTATACTCATTTATAAAATAATTATAATATTATTGTATCTTTAATTTATAAGTGTTAAATATAAAAATAAAAATAAATTATTATAAAATAAACCTTAACTATAATTTGTTTTCATATGGAAATTTTGCACAAATGAAATAAATTTATCTATTAAATGAAAAACTAACTTTCATAACTCATTTTTGTTTTCTAAAATTAACTAAAAAAATAAAACTATTTTTTAAATTATTGAAAAACACTACACAATTTTGAATGGAATGAATATTGTATAATTTTTTTATAATTTGAAAAATGTAACGCTAAATGTCACAATACAACCCCTCATTTTCATACATTTCGTCCCTATTTCTTCTTACTTCTCCCTAACTTTTTGTGGTACGAAACATAGCTTTAATGAATAGTAAGACAACCACAAGCATGCGTGATTAACTAATGAGAAGGTAATCATATATTCACAATCCCTTTTTATCAAACATCATTTAATAACTTTCTTTATATTTTTATATTATTATTCTTTATTTATTTTATTTTCATTTCATTAATCAATTTAAAAATTATTATTTTAAAATTTTATATTGGATATATGCAAATAGAATATTGTCAACAAAAATATTTACCCTAAACAAAATGCACAGTTTCCCTTTAAAGGATTAAGACTTTTTCCATGCACAGGGAACTCTAATGTTGCTTCGTTGTTCCGAACTCAGTTATATATGATGGTTCTTTTTTTCATTAATAAAATAGTCTATTCATGTAAATAAATAATAATAATTCTGGGTTTTATTAAATTTGAGTAACGAATAATTAAGAAGGCCCCGTCAAGTGCAAAACCCCACTTCATTGCTTTTACATTATTAAATTAGGTTGAGTAGTTGCAAAAACAAAGAAAAAAATAATTTAAAAAATAGTATAATTATTATTTTATTTGTTATTATCGGACCGGATGAGAGAGTAACGAGACAAGTGAATCATATTTAGGATGTCAAAACGGGTCAGTTCGTCAATGTTTTGACTCGTCAAAAGCGGGTGGGACAGATTGATCCGCTATAGTCATGACGGACTATAGACCTTGATCTTTCTTGTCAAAGGACGGTTAGTAGGTCGATGGTCGACTCGCCATAATTAAAAAAAAAATTATTTTTTTAAATCAAATTTTTTAATAAATTTAATAATAAAATTATTATTTGTTTGTCAATAATTCAAATATATATATATATATATATATATATATATATATATTATTTTAATTTAATAATATAAATCAACACATTATTTTAAGAAATTATAATTTAATAAATCAACACATTATTTTAAGAAATTATAATTTAAAACAATAATAAAATTTACATAATAATAAATAATAACAAATATATATATATATATATATATATATAAATAACATTAAAACTTATAAAATTTATATTTTTTATATTGAAAAATTTAAATACCATATATTTTTATTTGATAAAACTTCACATCATTCTCGTTTGAATAATTCTTATACATTTAATTCAAGTAATAATGATAAGAATAATCGAGTACTTAGGATGAATAAGAAGAACGAAGAGAGAAGTTTGTGTTTAGGAGAATATTTTCTCGTGAGAGTGAAACTTTTTTAATTCTCTTTTTAAAAATTTTAACTTTATTACAATAAAAAATTATTTTTTTATTAATTAGGCGAGTCGCATGTCGGCCTGCTCCATCCCGCAAGTTGACCCAATGGGTTAACGGGCTTGGCGAACCAGGCGGAGCGGGCTGACGGACTAAAAATACCAACCCACCCCACCATATTATAGCGGGCCGGCCGTGCGTCGGACTTGCCTCATTTTACCATCTCTAATCATATTTCAAGTTTTGACTTCGAAAATATTGAATGAATTTATATGAAAAAAAGAAGAAGAGAAATTCGTATTAAAAAAGATATATATATATATATATATATATATATATATATATATATATATATATATATATATATATATATATATATATATATTACCATCTTTTGTTTTTAATCGAGCATGAGAGGATCATTTAATGGACTCCTCTCCTATTAAATTTATTACACACCATTTTTTAGGGTGTTAGGGGTTAATTTAGTTGGGTTTTTCCCTTTATTAAAAAATTAGTGTAGTTGGATTTAGATTGGTTTTAATTTAATATAAAATATAAATCAAATCAATATTTATTATTTAATTTTACGATTTTTATTATTTTTAAATTGTTTAATAATTATAAAAAATATATGATTATTACATTCATATTTTTAATTTTTCTTAGATGTAAAAATATATTACATAGTCTTATAATTTAATATTATTAAATTTTAATAAACATTAATATGTGATACATAAAATATAAGTAAACTAATATAATATTAAAATGTAATTAGATACATCTATAGATAATTAATTTTAAACATATAATAATATATTTAAATATAATAAATGGTTTCCTTTTATTTTTGGTTTTTAATTCAAAATTCAAATATGTGATTTCGAAAAAAAGTGAAAAATATTAAAAAATTATTAAAATTCAGTTATTTTTTTATTGGTTTAGTTTTTAACATTTCTATTATCCACTATTTTGACCGACCGGTTCGGTTGAATCAGTTTAACTGAAAATTGGTTTAAAAAAATGATTTATTATTTTTAATTAATCAATTTTTAATTAAATCAGAATAAAACCAAAAAAATTAAAATAAAACTAATAAAATCGAGAAAATTATTCATCTTATAAATATAATTTTTTTTATTTGAATGTTAGTTACGAAAATAATAATAATAATTATTATTTTTAAATATTATTGCTAATAAATTTATCATATACTTATTATATTATAAAATATTATTTTATTAAATTTAATTTCATCCTATTCAACGTTTAAATCTCAACCCTATATTTTACTGATTCCGTGACCGTCCAGTATTAAAATTAATACACATGCATATATAATATATTTAATACTGTGAACAGTTAGAAAATGAAGTGATGAAATTGTTACAGTAGGAGGTGTTGGCTGAAGATGAAACAAAAGAGGAAGTGCATGTGCAATTACAGTAATTTTGAGAGCGTCTTACTGTGACATATTCTTTCGTAAATATCATATGATTGAGTTGAATTGAATTTAATAATAAATTTTGTTATCTATGTCCAAAAATGACAAGTTTATTAGGTAATCTTTGATTATTCTATAATATAAAATAACAAGTTTATTCTATAACAAATTTATTACGATAAGTTTTATTCTATAAAACTTTAATTTATACCGAATAGATAAACTCCGAGGAATTGATCATGTACCGAATATTAGTTCATAAAATTTCTTTTACATATAATTTTTTTTATATGTATTTAAAAAATATATTTTTAATTATCCGTATAATATTTTAATTTTTATTTATTAATTAATAATTTTATTACATAATTAAAAAAATTATTATATTTATGTATTAAAATACGTAATTTTATTTAATAATTTAAACTTGATTATTATTTATAATTTAAATTATAATATTATAATACATTTATATATTTTAGTAATATAAAAAAATATAATATTTTTAATGATAATTATTTTTATTGATTTTAGTATATAAATATTTTTAAAACTGATCAATTCATCTCATTTTTAACATATAAGATTTATATATTAGGTACAACGGAGCAAATCAGACTTACGAGTTGAAATTATTACCGACAAGTTAAAATTATAACAGATCGATATATTAATCCTAACCTGTTTTATCATTTATAAATTAAACATTGTTTCATTTAAATTGAAAGAGGTGAAACACCTTATGAATAAAAAAGAAAAAGTCTCTGTATTTTATTTAATTCAATCCTTGGAACTTAATTTGTTTATTAGTGCATTAAGAAAAACAAGGAAAATATATATTTTAGCAATCATTTATGCATTATTTAAACACACTTTCTATTACACAGAACAAGGTGCAATAACTCATAAATTTGATATACATATAGAATTCATAGATTGCATCTTGGAAAGACCATAAACTAGTTGATTAATTTGTTGATATATATATATAAGAAGTATACACACACAAGGTGATTAATAGATAATCCATATTGTGGTAATTAGTTAATTAATTAAGGATTGAAGAAAGTGTGTTAATCTTGAGGGGCCTAAAGCCATGGTGAAGACTTGCTTGCCATATTTTGTCAACGCTAAACGTGAAATTTCCACATTCGTGAACGTTCCAACCTTCTAGGGCATGCACTATTCCCGCCACACGCCATGCACTCATCACTCTTCTTGGTAGCCAGTTCTGTTGCACGATCAAATTCGTCACCAAAATGCATCAGAGAAGAATTATATATACTCATACAAAATATTCAAATGAGAAACTTCTTATTACACTACATAGATTAAGATAATATATGTTTCTATTATTATAATTATAATTGTGTTAGTCAAATTTAAGATTTAGGGTTGATGATTTAAGATTATATATATATTGTTATAATTACCTCACAAGAGTCGACGTTAACAAAAGAAGGGGGAGCAATCATGGCTGGTGTGCTATGGTAGAAGCAATCTTTCCGAAGTTTCTTTGGAGGGAATTGGGAAATAGGAATGAACAATGATCCTTTTGGTGCCTTTTTTTGTTCAACCTCATTACATTGTTCTCCTACTAGCCAAATCTGCAAATTCAAATGAATTCCCAAGATTTTTTTATGCTTTCTTTGGATTCAAACTTGAATTCAAATTATCAAATACAAAGAAAGAGGTGTATTTGTGATTACCTTTGCAGTGTAGGATCCTGGGAAAACCAAGTTGTTTTTGGACTCCTTGGACAGTCTCAACTGAAGAGTATCATATTCATCCTTATACATAGTTGTAACCTAAAAAACATACGATTTCATTTATGTTATTACTTTTGTTGTTTTTATGGGGCATTAACAAAATGTGTTTGGGATAATAACATCAATAGATACAAGCCTTGCAAATTCATCTCTTGTTGAAACATACATACCTTTGTACCCCTTTCACATAAAGCACTGGCAATGGCATATGAAACCTTATTAGGTTTGCCACAAAGAAGCACTTGACTTGCTTCTTTAGGAATACTGTTAAGAACAGTAGCCACAACTAAGCTACTTCCATCCACAATCTTTATCTTAAGCTCTGGAAATCTTTTGATGTAAAGCTCACCATATTTATTCAGTGAATCTCCCTGCAACCATTAACATATGCTCTAAACATATATAACCTTTTCATTTGGGTGTCAACATAATTAAGATCCAATATTTTTAAGATTTAGGGTTTAGAAGTTAAAGTTTAGGGTTTATGGATGATACCAATGTACATCAACTATATATATAAAAAAAGAAATGAGACACAACTCCTTCATTAGCAAACTTAATTTTGTTCTTCATTTGCAATGTAATGGACGTTGGGCCAATCCAATTGCGATATTTTAAGCCCATCAAGAATTTTGGATTAAACAAAAAAAAAGTATGGATTCTTGTTTCATTGTACATATATAGTAACAACTCTAGGGTCTCAATTTATATACATGAATGTTGAACTACAAACATCAACATAACCAATTATTTAAAAGAATTCAAACTAAAAAGTATTGAATTAACCTATTATTTAACTATTTGTATAATTGACTATGATAAATCTCACCCAACACATGTTTGAGCATTTTGATTTACAAGAACAAGATAATAAATAAGTATGGATTAATCTAAACTTTTCCAAGTTTGATCTATATGATTGAAACTTTAATATTTGCTTATATATATTAAAAAAAAAAAAACTTGTTACCTTGTTTTGAAAACCTAAACTTTTAAACTAGTGAAAATTTAAACTTAAACAATATATATTAAAAAAAAATTATTACCTGGTTTGAAAGACCGAGACTTAAAACCTTTGCTTGGCTTGACTCTGCCTGAAGTATTGCGTCTTCTATAAGCTTGTTTAGTGATTCACTTTGCCATTTAAAAAGGTACTGTGAAAGTGTAAAGAAGAAAACCAAACATTATTCATAGGAAAACATTGTTCCTGGTTGGAGATGAAAAACAAGGTTACCAAAATGAAACTTACTTGTACATGGAATCTAGGTATAACCCATGATTGCAAATTGAGCATTTTGAAAGCATTCCTCTCAATGACAAATGTTTGACCATAAAACCAAGTGACAAGAACAGTCCAAAGAGTGAAAGGCCACATCAAATAGAGGTACCATGTTGAAGATTGGGGTTTGGAGGATAAGGAAGCAAATCCCAACCTTAGATGATAGATTGATTCTGGGGTTGTAAGGTGTGTTAGATGAACCACATCAGGTGAGATTTCTTCTCTCTTCAATGCAATCTCATAGGTGGTGTCTGTAGTCTTGTCCATGGTACCATAAATGTAATCATAAATGGGCATGAACAGTGAGTAATTGGTCCTAAACTGGGTATGATGCAATGAGTGGAACCTGTCTCAAACCAAATTTTTTTAAATTCTCTCTTCTTTTTCATTTCTTAACATCATACTTTCGTTTCCAACATTAACTTAATTGAAATGTATCCACAAACAATATTATTCAATCATAGATTATCCTCAGTGACCATTAATTTAGAGAGGCTAAATAATATATTATTAATAAATAATAAATAAATATAAAAAGATAAAAAAAATAAAAGAATGAGAGGATAAAATTCTAAATATATAAATAAATATATTAAATAATAATTAAGTTTGTGAAACAAAATCATAAATTAGATAAGAATTAGAGTGACTGAAAGGATAAAATTATAAATATACAAGTAAATATATTAAATGATCATTAAATTTGAGAAGACCAAAATCATAAATTAGATTGGAGTCACAAAACTTTGGAAGACCACAACCCTCTTAGTTCCCAAGAAAATCCATCAGATTAACTCAAAATATTAACTTGACTACTCTTAATTAAAACCATGTTTCAGATCATCTTTTCAAATTGATATTTAGTGTCAAAATATATTATGCTAACTTTATATTGGAATTAATCAGAGTTTGAAAATAGTATAACAGTGAATTTAGACTTTTTTTTTCTTGTATAAAGGAATATGTATTAAATGAACATGTTATTAGGTAGTTTATAATTTTAATATATACTATAGTATAAAAATTTACACCCACAACTATTTAAATATCTCTTTGAATTTTCAAAATAATTATTAAAATTGATTATGCTACTATATATTTACTATAACTAGATAGTAATTATGTAAATGATAAAAGTTAGTGAAAAGTATTGACAATAGCAGGACTGAGAGTTTAAAACACAATGACTATGGTTAAATGAAATTGGTAATGATAATTATAAATTATATATAATGATAGTTACAAAAACGTTACTAATGATAATAAATAATGATGATAAAATAACAATGAGTTTAAATAGTGAATAAAATGAATTATTTATTTAAATTATTTTTTATTATAAATACGAAATAAAATGTTGTTTTAATATATCATAAGCCATATATTTCATTTCACCAATTTATCATCACAATCTCTCTAATAATAAAAAGAAAGATAATAACTATCACCATTTTGCAATAAAGGTTAGCAACTAACTAAAACTCAAAAGAGAATAACTAATCATTATTTTTAAAAAATTTACACAAAGTTCTAATATGAGAATTGGTGTAGTTGGTTGTCTCAATCACACTTGATGAATTACAAGTGGCTTAATAATATTGTGTTCAAATTACCATAATTAATTTAATGCAATCCTTGTACTTAGCCAAACCTATGAACTAATAACCACTTTCAAACATTGATAACACCACCACTAGATATACACGTGGAATAAATCATACATAGTGATTCAATCTAATCATATTTGATTAATCTTTTTTATTTGCATGTTGGTAAAACAAACGTTTGAATATATGTTCCACGTGTATCATTAGTCGTTAGATGTCTATGTTTGTAAATAGTTATTTCACATGCTTAGGTTGGTGTACTACAACGGTTGCATTAAATTATCTCCCCTAATTTTTTCAACCTAGTTAGTTTCATTTTTAATATGCTCAGTACTATGATTAAATTGCATATCAAATGAGTTAATTATTGTGTTGTGTTACCAATGAATGTTGAGGAATGTTAGTTAGTTATATATAATTAACTTGGGTATATATGAACAACATAAAAGTCATGATGTCTACTGCTTTTTTTTTTTTTTTTTCTTAAGAAACATACAACAGCTGAACAGTGATTTTAAAAAATAACTTGATTTTATGATGTTATAATCTATATAGTTATAGTTTTTACTTTTTATTTTATATATATTCACTATTTTCTTATCAATGAAAAAACTCAAAACTCAATTTTAATGACTTTACTTTATGTAAAAAAAATAAAAGAAATTATGTCTTTGATTAACGAAGGTAAAAATACCCTATATTATCTATGTTTAAATTTTTTTATTAAATATGTAAATAATAATAATAATAATAATGATGAAGCTAATAAAGAAAAAAATGGTAAATATTGTCTACGATAATACTAATTAATTATAATAATGATATGATAGAAATATTGTTGAAAAGTGTAGTGATAATCATTGTAGTAATAAAGCAGCGAAAATAATTAGATGATGGTATAGTAATGATAATAATAATAGTAGCATCCCAACATAACAATTTTAATGATAATAATAGAGACATCACAACATATAACAATTTTGGTAGTGTTGGTGGGGTGCAATGAAAATGTTAATAGTTAAATGCAAGGTAAATGTGAAATGTAATTTTTATTCCTCTCCTATATATCCTCCATTCTTCCTTTAGGTTAATTTTTGGAAAGAAATGAACTATATATAGTACATAGAAATAGGATGTTTTCATGACAAACATTTATTATTTATGAATAATTTAACCTTTTATTTCACACCTAAGTTTGTTATTTTCATGAAGAGAAAATAGCATATAATAACCTATCTCCTATTTTTATCTTCTTTACATTGATAACCAAGTTTTTCCTAAAATTGTTTCATGACAAATATCTATGATTTTTAAACAGTTTAAACCTTTTCTTTTTTTCACACCTAAGTTAGTAAATTAAATAAAAAATACATTTAAATGTTTCATTTTTTTTTTAACGACCATGATTGATGCAAACTTGAAAGCAACACTCACCTACATATTTGTCACCTTTATTGAGGTGTCGGGTTTTGAAATGAAAAAATGTGGATATAGTACAGTGCTGTAACCCTCCCACTGGATCTATAAATAACTAATTTGGTTTCTCTAATGTATTTTTTTATCATAATAATAAAATACTGTAATTTAGAAAAACACAAGATGAAAAAAAAAAGAAAAAAAACACAATATAGAACCCAAATTGATCAAACAATCTAAGGATCAAAACCACATCACTATGATAAATACAACATGAAAAGTGTTATTGAACCATGATGTTTGTAACTTATTTTGTCATTTATATAATATATCATCTTTAATCGAAATGAAATTTCAATGATTAATGTAGACCCAATTAAAATATGATGGAGAGTTAATTAGGGTAAGAAACTTACGATGGGGTGTACATGAGATACTTTAGGAAGGGAAAGGTTGAGAATATGGCCTTTGGAATGAACTCGAAATTGCAGTGACCCAAATTGTTCATGAAGTCAATGTATGCAAGATAACCAGCATAAGATGCTATAGAAGCTGTTCTTGTGACCACAGTTGTGTACAGTGGAATTGCAAATAACAAAAAGTATGCAATGTGCTCTGCAAATGGATGAATCACAGCTGCAAAATTGATGAACAACTTGATTAAGTAAGATCATGAGTAGAGAATATATGTTTTTAATTTTAATTACTTTAATTGTTCATTCATCAGTAATTAAAATCACATGTTGTTGAATATATATATATATATATATATATATATATATATATATATATATATATATATATATATATATATATATATATATATATATAGGACATGATTTTATTTTAAATAATTTATGTGATCTCCATATGTCACAAAACCAAAACTATTTCTATGACAGTAATGTGTTGGAAAAGGGCAATAACTCACCCATTGACATTGTTTTTTCAAAAGATGTGTATTGAATAATTTCTATGAAAAATTATTTTTAATTTAATTTTTTTCTCTTCACAAAAACATATTCTTAACATTTCGTTTGTCGTTATGACGTAAAGTATCTTTTATTGATATATTTTATAAGTGAAATTTCATGTACCTTATTACGTACTTAGTAAATGATAAATGATAGAAAAATAAAGTTAGTACTTGCTTAAATAAATACCTCAGGCAGGAACATCAGTTTAAAAAATAAATGTTTTTATTAGAAATTATATTGGAATTTTGAAAATTATTAGAATAGTTGAATTGGTAATACTTTTCATATTTTTTTTATTTTTATTCCTGAATTGACACTCTAAAAACACTGATTTACTTTTTTCTAAAAAAAGTGTGTTTGAATTACTTTTCCTACTAAAAAAAACCATGCAAGGGTTGGTGCAGCATGACATTTTTCACTTTGTGCCAAACTTGTGGGTTCGATTAGACTTTTCTGTTTCAAGTAAACTTTTCTAATAAGAAAGTGATTTCTTTTTCAGGGCAGTAAATGTTTTTTTTTTTTTTTCAAGTAAACTTTTTCTATTTTAATATGTATAGAAAAAGTGAAATATTAGTACAAAAAGAAAATGGAAAACCTACAAGTTATAGGCTCTGTGACAATGGAAGAGTGATGGTGAGAGTGGTATCTAGAGTAGAGAAAGTGATGATGAAGTGCTCTGTGTAACCAGTAATAAAGAAACTCCACTGGTCCTGCATGCAAAAGAGCAGTGATAACCACACCATCTGTTCTCCACAAGGGCAAGTGAGAACCCTCTGGAATTAACATATACCCTATATAAAACAAAATCCCATTGAACAAGATCTGGTCATCCCTGCAAAAGTTTCATATTTACACCATAAGATAGAGAGAAAGTTAAACATTAAGAGAAATTAACATTTCCATTACATATATATATATATAGATGATTACTATTACCAGTTCACTTGGTACAACAATGAGTATGAACTTTTGTGATGTTTCATATATCTGTTTTTAAATCTTATGAATAAAATTATGCATAGTTGGTCTCATAGGTGGTTTTATGAAAAATAATGATCAAGGTTTTAAATTTGTAGCTACTTTTGGATGTTGGAGGGAATTACACAGACAAGTGAGACCATTATGATTGAAACTGCAGTCATTATTAACAGGTTTTCAAAGGTGGATGATGATAGAAACAACATTATGACATGTTTGGTGAAACTTTTTTCATGAGTAGAGAGAAAAGGTAAAATCTACTGTTTCGTAGGAAAACTGTTTTCATTGTAAAAAGTGTGTATGGAGAAGTTTTCATTCAGTTAAAGAACAAACCAATTGCTTTCTCGATCAACTTGTTCAAACTCGATGCCCTTGTCAACGATTCTGCTTTTGCCTTTGGCAGTTCTATGGCGAGAAAGTGTGATCCAGATTTGGTCATGCAGCATCCTCACCAACATGTAGGGGAAGATGAGGAAGTAACCAAGGTCTCTCTGCTTTGGATCATTGACTACGAAAGAGTAAGTGCTGTGTGCAATCCATGGTGTCAAAATCACCCACTGTCATCACCATCATTTCATGAACTTCATTAGTTAACAGAAAACAATGAATGAATGATTGTTAAGTAATGAAAGAGTGTGGTCTTAGACTAATTACAGTAAATCTTGTGTTGTTATATATATAAAAGTTTCAAAAGAATCAGACATGAGAAAATAGTTCAAAATAACTATGAAACCTTGAAACTCCCCAGAGGCTGCCATGGCCAATTGGTCAGAATGCCAGGTTTTGATGCCATCGTTACAATGACTGAGGATAAGAAAATGAAGAAGCACCAAATATTTGTGTATATGATAATCTTGGAAGGTGAATATTTATAGTGTGAAAAAAGAGAAAGTGTGTCAGCAATATTGTTGGGCTTTGATTGCGAACGTGTAGGGTAGATCTATGGGAAGTTAAGATATTTTTTGGTTTCAAAAGGATAATAATGTGTCTAACTTAACTTTGGTTTTTCATATTTTAATTGTATCATTATGATTTATAAACTGTTACAATTTTGTGCTTTTAATTCCATCCACATTCTAATTATATCATTGGAGTCTCTAAACTATGCAATTGTACGATGTGATTTTGATTTGTGACATATTTGAATGATTATAAAATCATATCATTGTAAGAACAAATCTATGTGGGAAGAAATTTGTAACTTGTTAAATCAGCTACAATCATAATATTATAAACAAAATCAGTCTTTTATTCAATTGTTTAAGAAAACTTGTGACACAACCAAAACGAAAACATGAATATAAAATTACTTAATTATATACAAAACAATCTTAAAAAATAAAAATTAGGGTTTGATATCTACATGATTAAAACTCTGATTCATAGGTAGTGATTAAGAAACTGAGTTCAAAATTTGTCCTTATGTTTATCTAAAGTTCCGATATTGTCGGGTGAACATTGAAGGTGTCCTTCACTTGCATCTGAAAAGGAAAATAAATTATGGAGGCAGAGTCTGGACAAGAAAATTAATTTTGTAACCACTTTTTGCAGTGGGGTAAATGAAATAATCTCAAGGAGACAAAAAAAATTATTCTGCAAAAAAATATATTTTTTTATCATTAATTAACATATTTTTATCAATTTAATTATTAATGTTTTTTTTTTGAGGTAGAAGGTTTTTAACTTCATGCCACGTTGTATCCATGTATGGTCCTAGTTTCAATTTGGTCTGGTCAATAAATAATAAAACAGATATCATGATTTCTTAAGAAGATAATTGAAAAATATAAATTTAAAAATATTTGATGTTGTATATGATCTAATATTTTGTATATTATTTAAATAATTAAATACTTTTTAGACAGAAAACGATATTTTATTATTTAAGTTTTAGAAACAGGAGTGAAAATATAAATATATGAGATGTTTTTTATGTTAGGGGGTAAAAATTGAGTTAATTTTGTGGTTTGGTTTGAAAGGTTTAATAAATAGGTTAGGTAAAATAATTTGTGAACTAAATTAATGAATTGCAAATATATTATATATTGAGTTTAATAAATTTAAAATAAAATAATAAAAATCAAATTGGATTTTTTAAAACAAAATATTGGGTTGAATTATTTTGTTATCAACAGAGTAAAGGTACAGTGGAAATTTTGACCACACTGAATGAATAAAGAGTGAAGAATCAAAGTGCAATGTTATTTTCTTGATGATTATTGATAGAGACAGTGTACAAGACTTAAATCTCCTTCAATTCTTTTTAGGTTTCGTACATTTTATTTACTCTTATTGTTCAGAAGATTATTGTTTTTTCTTTGAATTGGAAGATGGTAGTTACAAGATATTTATGACATCGTTGGAGGCACGTCTCTTGGTTGCTCTCTTCTAAAAATATTATAAAAAAATTGTTCGAATTTTATTATCATATTAAATCATGATTAAAGATATTTTTAATCATAATTAAAAAAAATTATTTTTGCTTAGTGTATAGAAAACTGGGATTCAGCACCATTCACCATACATGAATAAAATTATTTTGTCATACGATGTGAAAATAGATATATACAATTAGTTTAAAATTTTCAAATAATAGATTTAATCAAAAAAATTATTAAAATTGAATAAGACATATTATGATTGTTTAACATTTAGATTAGGTTAACGTGTAAGTGCATGAATTATTCTGTTATATAAAATAATAATAACTATATTTAAAATAAAAATAATTTTATTAATATAATTATATATATATATATATTCAATTTTTATTTATTTTTTAAAACAAATATTTGAATAAATTAATTTTATATAAATAAATTTTTATTTTATTTTTAATGAAATCAAATTAAAAGGATATTGACCTAACATCATATTAAAAAGAAATTATGATTTATTAATTGATTTAATTTTCAACCTAACTTTAGGACCATATTAGACTTTAACATATCTTAGTTTTATGGATGAGAGAAAATAAAATTCATAAGAAAAAATTATGCCATTTCATTGATTGGGATCGATAAAATGAAAAAAAAAAAGAGAGTCAATATTCACTAAATATTAAAACTAAGATATTTATTTATAATTTTGTAATTTATAATATTAGTTATTATTTTTTAAATTATTTTTTTTTTTTGGTTTTATATAAGAAAAAAATTGTTAAAGAATAAATGTCATTTTATTTATTTATTTTTTTATCATATAAATATCTTATTTGAAAGTTGACTTGAATGTTAAAGTGCATTCTCTAGAGTGAGTATTTACTCTTTTATAAGAAGATTATTTTTATCTAGTTCAGAAACACAAGCTGGTCTCCACAGTTCAATCTCATAAACTCTAGTTGATCTCCATAGTCTAGTCAAAATATTTGACGCCCATTGTAGGTCTTAGTAAAACAATCTTTATAACTTCATTCATTTTACTGATAATGATAATGTTTTGATCACACAAAATATTGATAAAAAAAATTAAACAAGTTACTATAACCGATATATATTGAATCTGACAATGACACAATTAAGAAGGTTGATAAAAGATTGAAAAAAACAAATTGATGCAGAATAAAAAAAATTAAATTATAATAGAATAATAATGATAATTATAATCAAATTGAATTAGAATTTAAATAATTGAACTTTAAAAAATTACAACTAAGTGCTTTAATTAAATTAAAAAATTGTTAGAACAAAGTGTAAAATGAAAAATTACTTTAAAATACAATAATGCAAGTAATTAAATTTGAAATTTCTGAAAGCGATAACTTTGAACTAAATAGAAAATTATAATTGGAATCGAAAAATACATGAATTAAAAATAAAAATTAGCAACACTGGAATCTTACCTGGTGTTCCAACGGTCTTCCTCACCAGGAGTGAGAGTAGGTGCTTTCGGGGCAAGATGATTAAGATACTTCGACTCTTAAGCCATAATCTGACGTCCGATGACCATGTGGCATAATTAGGGTCAGCTTAACTTGTCAATGGATAAGTGCACATTAACATAGTTAGTGTAGATGGAAGGATCGAACGCAATATCGACTGAATTGGAAGTACTAAAAGGAGCGGAAGAACTCATAAAGGGCTGAAGCGATAGTGATAGCGGCATGAACCAAGTACACCGGTAAGTTCCCAGGAAAGAGAGGTGGGTCACTAATGGACACGCTTAAATACCAAGTCTTTCCTTGTCAGAACTTTCCTAGACATGCATTTTCACACTACCAAATAACCGACAACCATAGCAGCGGTGGTGGCGACTTCAATAGTGGTCAAAGGCAACAAAAAAAAAATTCAAAATAACCTTAAGCTCTAGATACCATGTTGAATATAGAAGAAATAGAGTTTGGGATTAATCTCCCTTGTGTATAAATCACACATAGGGTAGTCTATTTATAGTAGAGAGATACAACTAAAAGAGTAACTCGAAAGTAACAGAATAAACGAAGATATTGTTTGATATTATGGTTAATATCTAACAATATCTTAACAATATTAAATAATATCTAAACAATATCTAACAAGAATTAACATAAGTTTAGTGGTTTCATAACAATTCAAGGCATAATTATATCAACTTTTTACCACTTAACAACTCCCCCAACCTAGAATCTTTCTTGTCCCAAGCAAAGTAATTTTTTCAAAACAAAACCATCGCCTATTATCACTTTCTCTTCCGGAACCACTACAAGAAAAACACTAAATAGTGACCGAAATTAGTGACTGAAAAATTCAGTCACTGATAGTAACTGAATCAGTGACTGATTTCCCTTTTTATATTTAGTGACTGATTTAGTGACTAAAATTTCAATCACAGATGTCGGTCACTAATTCAGATCATCGAATCAGTCATCTGATTCGAGCCACTACTAGAAAAATGGTTAATAGTGACCGAAAGTGGTGACTGAATTTTTTTTTATATTTAGTAACTGATTTAGTGACTAAATTTTCAGATCACTAAAAAAATAATTTTTAAATTGATAACTATTTTTCATTTATATAAATATTTTATTTAAAATATTTTAAATATAAATCTACTTAATAATTTAAAATAAGTGATAACATTGTTAATAACATTATAAAAATTTTTAAAAAATAGTTTACTAACTTATTAAATAATTTAGTAATATAATTATTTAATTTTATTTTTTAATTTAGCATGTGAATAAAAAAATTAAAATTGATTATTAAATTAGTCACCGATCGATCATCGATTCGGTCCATCGATTCGATCAATCGATCTTGGTCACCGAATCGATCACTGATTCGGCCATCGAATTCGGTCACTCGATTCGGTCACCGAATCGATCATCGAATCGGTCACTAAATCAATAATTAAATTAATTATTAATTTAGTCTCTTTATATATATATATATATATATATATATATATATATATATATATATTACTTGTATGTTAATAAAAATGTATTTCAATGTATTTATAAAAAATTAAAATTATTTTAATTACTGAATTGATATTTTAAATTTATATTAATATCTTGGATAATTTAATAGTTGGATATATATTTTAAGTTTATATTAGTCATTTTTATATAAAAGTGTAAAAATAAAGTGAACTTATTTTAAAATTTAATTAAACATAATAATATAATATAGTATTAACCATAAATATGTGAAGATTTAGTTAGAAATTAATTTTAAGTTTTATTGTTTTTATTTAAAAAAAATCGTTAAAAAAATTTAAAATAATTAATTAAAGTAAAGAATTTTAATTTAATAAATGTGTTAATATTATTAGAAGAATTAAATTTATATTAATAATTATATAAAATTATAG